GACTGTACAGAGGTGTGACAGCAGTAAGGTGTTTCCTTCAGACAACCAGCATGACAGCGATGCTGCCTTCCCACAAGGAGGGGTGGGGTTAGAAAAGGTCGACTCTAAAAATGCGCACCTCACCTTACCTTACACGTCAAAAACCTCCCACGAGAAGGCCGTGCGCGACCGGCCTCAAGCAGTTGTCCCTTGGGCACTGCGGTCACGCTCTCAGGTCACTGAGACCACCTTTAATCCAATTTCCTTTTCAGGTACCTCCAGAAGAACCCTTCCTCGGTGTGGGCAACCGGGAAGTGATAACCGCCCTCATACCTCTAACAGCACTCGAGACCACTGTATTCATAATCAACCTCCGTCTTCACTTCCTATTATTCCTCCTACATCGACTTTCAACTCTAAACTTCCTCTTTCGGCTTCCTCCTCAAGTGTCACCATAGCCAACGATTCTAGTGCTCAAAACTCTGTCCCAGGTCTACTGAAACCTCGCTCCAAACTACACATTGGAGCCTTCAACGTACGCACCCTATGTCAAATCGGTCAGCAGACTTCCTTGGCTAAAACCCTAGAGTCTCTTTCCATTGATGTATGCTGTGTCTCCGAAACACGCATACAGGATTCCAGTGTGGTTATTCACTTGACCTCACCTCGGCAAAACGGAGAGCCAACGAGATACACCCTACGTGTATCTGGTGACCCGATGGCCAGTTGTCGTGGACTGGCAGGTGTAGGCATAGCACTAAGCATGAGGGTGAAACAAGCACTGCTAGAGTGGATCCCCGTCAACAGTCGTCTATGTGCTGTTCGGCTGAACGGCTACGTAAGAACTCGGAAGGATAGGGACACACGTCGTTGCCTTTTCGTCGTTTCTGCTTACGCTCCCACTGACTGCAGCTCAGATGAAGTGAAAGATGAATTTTACAGAAAGCTTTCTGAAGAATTTCAGAAAGCTAAACGCTCAGACATAGTACTCATAGGAGGTGACTTTAATGCTTAGATAGGTAGCTTAAACCAAACAGAAAGGCATTTAGGTGGATATTTTAGCATTCCGGTACAGCGAACAGATAATGGTGATCGTCTGCTGCAACTGTGCTCAGACAATCGCTTATTTTTAGCAAACACAAATTTTAAGCATAAGGAGAGACATCGTCTAACGTGGCGACCGCCTGCACCAAGCCAACGATGGACTCAAATAGACTATATTGCCATCAGTCACCGTTGGAGAGGGTTGGTAGAAGGTTTTCGCCCATTCTGGAGTACCTGCTTGGACTCCGACCACGCCCTAATACGGGCACGCATCTTCTTGCGCCTCACTGGACGCAAAAAAGCCACAGTAAAAAGACCCATTAGAACCGAACTGAGTAGCGAGGAAGCCAAAAGTAAGTTCCAGGAACAACTGAGGTCACGATTAGGTAGTTTTGGAGACGAGGTTGGCCCAGATGTTGCTTGGAAGGGCATACAATCAGCTGTGGAAACAGCAGTGACATCTATCAGTGATTCAAACCACAGAGTTACAAAGAACCAATGGATTTCCTCTAGGTCTATTGCACTGATGGATTCTCGCAAACTCGTCCCATCAGGTTCCGAACATGATGAAGAGCGACAACAAATCAGATCTAGGTTAAGAAAAAGTCTAAGAAACGACCGTGAGCAGTGGTGGTCAACGAAAGCAAAAGAGATGGAAAAGGCGGCGACTATAGGGAACACAAGACAGCTTTATAGACTAATAAAAGAAACCGGAATAAATAAGTCAAGTGTAAGTGAGATTATTTCGGAAAAAGACAATACTCTCATCTGCTCCCAGTCCGGACGTTTAGAACGATGGGCGGAACATTTCAGAGAACAGTCCAACTGGCCTTCAGCTACTCTACAACTACCCTCCATTCCCAGACAGTGTGAATGGAACATTGGAGTAGGTCCCCCAACTCTAGCAGAAGTTCAAAAGGCTATAGTTAATCTGAAACGGGGAAGGGCAGCTGGTGCAGATGGATTGGCTCCAGAGGTCTTTAAGGATGGTGGTCCAATTTTAGCGATTAAGTTGACTAATATTTTAGCTAAGATCTGGGAATTAGACTTTATCCCATCTGACTGGTCGCAATCACTTATCGTCCCAATATATAAGAAAGGGTCAAAATCATCCTGTGACAACCACAGAGGGATTAGTTTAACAAATATAGTATCTAAAGTACTAGCCTCGATAATTATCAGACGCCTAACTAAGACTCGTGAACTGCAAACACGAGAGACTCAAGCTGGCTTCAGACCTGGTCGTGGCTGCATCGACCACATATTCACCATTCGTCAGATTCTAGAACACAGGCATACTTATCGACGTCCGACAATGGTGGTCTTTCTCGACTTAAAAGCAGCATTTGACTCGGTAGACCGTGAGATTCTGTGGCAGTGTGTCATTGAAAGGCGTACCACAGAAGTACATAAACCTTGTAAAGGCTCTTTACTCGAACGCTACTAGTCGAGTCAGAGCTTATGGCAAACTGTCATCTGCTTTTGCAACCTCAAATGGTGTCCGTCAAGGCTGTCCACTTTCTCCATTTTTGTTTAACTTCATCATAGACCTACTGTTGGAAATAACATTCTTGTCTACTGAATTCTCGGGTATTGATCTTCATCCAGGAGGTCCATTTATCGACTTAGAATACTCAGATGACATAGTCCTGTTTGGTGAAGACGCTGACAAAATGCAGTCTTTTGGTAGCACTAAGCAACAATGCCAGAATGTTTGGAATGCGCTTCTCTCCCTCTAAATGCAAGTTGTTGCTTCAGGACTGGTCTGCGTCAACACCTGAACTAAGGATAGAGAGTGAAGTAGTCGAACGCGTCGACAACTTCACTTATCTTGGAAGTCTGATCAGCCCTAATGGGTTGGTGTCTGACGAAATCTCAGCACGGATTCGAAAAGCTCGCTTGGCTTTTGCCAACTTGCGTCACCTTTGGCGAAGGCGAGATATCCGTCTATCAATAAAAGGACTGGTATACTGCGCGGCAGTCCGTTCTGTTTTACTTTACGGCAGCGAGACATGGCCATTAAGAGCAGAAGACACTCGTAAGCTACTAGTATTTGATCACAGATGCCTTAGAAATATTGCTGGCATCTGCTGGGATCACCGGGTAAGTAATAGTGAGGTTAAACGCAGGGTATTAGGGAATGATGGTAAATCAGTTGATGAGGTTGTTAATCTTCGTCGTCTGAGATGGTTGGGCCACGTGTTACGTATGCCTGAACACCGATTACCACGACGTGCAATGCTAACCGGTGTTGGGGATGGTTGGAAGAAAGTAAGGGGCGGCCAAACCAAAACGTGGCATCAGTGCTTGAAGACACTAACTTCTAGTCTGAGCCATGTTGGTAGATGCAGACTACTTGGTTGGGGTCCGCGTGACTTTCGTAACCAATGGCTGGAGACTCTTGGTGACATGGCTCAGAATCGATCAAAATGGCGTCGGTGTATACACTCCATGCCTTTCTTAAACTAAGAGATTAAAATCGCTTCATACCTTTCTTTCTACGAACCAATTTTTTCGTCTTGTACTATATCTCTATATGCAATCTTTCTCTTACATATTACCACCTTTGACCTAACCACTGCTATGAATCCGGTGTTCATCTTGTTGTGCTGATGCGGTATGGCAACCTGGACCGATGCACATATGTGCCTGTTCCTACGTTGTAGCTGACTGACTGATGAATTTTGCAAAAATCTTCATAAAGCGCCTCGGTTACTAGTAATTATTCAGTATGATTTCTAGTTCATGCCAACCGAACTCTTGTAGTACATCTGTTGTGTTGAACGACTTGACGATACACTTGATGTTTTGAATTTATAGAGCCATGGTCCTCATTTTCTTAGTTGTTGGGATGCATCAACAAGGCGAAGTGATAATAATTGAAATTTATTCAGTCGACTTCTGGGATTTCATTTAGATTTTTAATATTCAATAAGATTTTCCGAACAGTTTATGGACGAAGTTGGAAAACCGAATTATTTATCTTGTCAATAAAATCATTTAGTTTTGTGTATATGGTAATATACATCTGTTATCTAGTTTGTAGTATGCCGTAGTCGATTTATATCGACACGCTTCTGTTTCTTAAATAAGGATACCTGCCTATAGAGGAAAAACTAAAACAAATTGTTTGTTATTGAAGTAATTTAAATAGTAAGGTGTTGTCCTTTGTATTTGCGATGTGGTGTAGTGTCCGATACTATGTCAAGCTCATATACCTTATTCTAACTTCTGGACAGTCCAGTTTATTCGTTCTCCTTGAGTCACGTTTTAACCTTGTTAATTATTCACTTATTAACCTTGAATGTTTTTATATGAGCGTATGTGTGTGTACATCTTATCCTACTCATCACATGTCTGTAGGTTGTTTTTGTGCGACTAAAAATATTGATTAACCCTTGGTTAAGTGGAGTTGGGTCACACGCCTTCTCCACTGTGCGTCATTTCGCTTCGCTCTTTTCTCTTCGCATCTCAGATATTTTGTCTGGATCAACAATTGTATGAAATATGCGTATTTGAAAATCATTCTCGTATTTGGCTTATTTAATTCCGTTATTCACTAACGTGGATTAAGTCTATAATTATATACGACAATAGTCAGGATGTATATTTCGACAGCAATCATTCGTACAATCCAACTGAATCAGATCCCGGGCCACTAAAGTGGTTAAGAGAACGGTTAAATTCTGGTAGAAAATCTTGTTAAACAACTTTTTGATTTCACATCCTTTTTATGAAATACATTTATTTAACTTTCTGGATTCATCGTTTAGTATCAGCACAAACAGTTACACAATTTAATGGACATAAAATTGGTGTCTAATCAATACTTTCATAGGATATTATTGATAAGTTCAAAATTAGATATACGATGTTACTTCGAATGCTGAATAGTTACAAATCAGTTGTCAATCAAATTTTATGGGATCACAGGTATTCTTCATTATAGCTTTTGAGAGGTTTAAGTATTTTTTTTTCAGTCATCAGTTAGAGGGGGAACAATTTTCACAAAATCTTTACAACCTGTATGTCTTTTAAGTGGGTCGAAGTATCTTTGTGGTTCTTACCATATAAAGTGTGAATCAATGTGTGGACACTGCGCATAATAATTGACAGTTGAATAGACGTGGAATATAAAAAAATCTGAGATTCACATTCTATCTAATCCCACTTCTTTGTTTTCACTATCAAGAAATGGTCATTGTTTTCATCAAACTTTAAGGCTGGTGTATCTCAATCAAATAAATCCTGGTGACGTTTGTACAGTCTCTTGCAATTTTAATTTATACGTTTAATACAAGATTACCACTGTTTATTTTGCTTATAACACTCACTGCTTAACTTTTAACAGTTATTAATAGTACTTAATGCATAAGTCATCATTTTTCAAAAGAATCCATCGGTTCTAGGCGTCCAATCGTTTATGTGGTAATGAGGACTATACGAATAATAAGCTCAGCTCATAAAACGTGTTATCCAAGTTATTCGTATTCGTATTCGTATAACAAAACAATCAGAAAGAATAAAATACATGATGTAAAATGACGGTAAAGAAAAGTAATTATTTGAGTATCCAAAGTGTATCCTTCAGTAAACGTTTACAATACTAGCTAGATAGAATGCAAAATAAGCGACCAAGAAAAGTGATACGTGAAAGACGTTTTGTCGTCTATTATCAGCAGGATTAATCTACTCGAATTGAGAATGGTAATCGCTAAACTTGGCACATTAACTGCAAAAATATCTAACAGCTTCATTCAGAAGTGTTACTGTACAAATTCATGTGAAAATCTTTTTCCTTTGGAATACAATAATGGAATATTTCTATTACATATCAAAATAGTGGAATATACATGTTCAAATCTGTTTTTTTGGGATACAACAAAATCACAACTAATTACGTGAAAATTTAGGCACCAACTAGTTTTCAGCAAGTATATTTGATAGATTTTTTATTTATTATTTTTTTAATCACACATTTTCTTCATGGAATGTGACTTCTTTTGTGGTTTTTGATATGTCTATACTGGAAGATTGTATTCGTCTTCTGACTTGTCGAAGAATTTTCTCATGACTTGATCTCATGCCTACTGTATTTGTTGAATCTAACCATACCGCATTAATTCCTTCCGGAGTGAGTAACTAAAAATATAGGTAAATGACATTTTATAAATATATTTTCAACTTTTTATAGATAAAGTAAAATGTCTCATTGTTGTACTTATCACCTTTCACGAATGCTCATAACTAAACAGAATTTGATTATTTACTAAGAGTTTACGAATGTAATTTTTGAAAAATGGATAACTCATTAAGTATAGTCACACCGTTCGAGTGAAGGACAATAATGGTATCTAGATCTCCAAACTAAAATATGTGAATTGGGGTTTCAACTTTCTACCTGCTGGTTGAGAGTAATTTACCTTATCCAATGAGCCAAAGTTCCACTTACAACTTTTCCATAATTACAATTACAAGAGTAAATTGTAGGTCGGTGAAGACAACGCCTTCTCATTTACGTTGTACATTAACATGAAAACAATATTCGAGTAATTTTACTGAAGCACTCTACAAAGCAAAGCATTAGATAGAGTTGTACTAATGATTATTCCATCTTCTTGTTTTAATTGATTGGTGAAAAGTTGAATTTTGACTTAAGGTACACGTCATCGAAATAAGTATTGAGCAACCATTTGAATAACTTTGTTGTGCTGCGACGAATAAACACGAACACCGTTAGACTTAATTTTTAGCTTACAATTGCCAAAATTTAGTGTGTCTTCGTTATCTTCTCAGTCCCATGCTTCCGTTCGATCTGTAAAGTTTTTAAATTTTTCCTGTTCCCTATTTATGGTAAGCTAATCGGAGCCTTGTATTCCAATGTTTGCTCTAAATTACTTGTGTTGGCACGTTGCACTTTCCTAATTATGGTGCGTTGTGGTCGGGTTGTTCATTTATTTAAGCATGTAGATTTTTGAGTTAGAGATCCATCCAAACATAGCGATTTTGTACTATTACTTTTCGTCTTTTCGTTTATTGGTATTTTCGAGAAAAATGATCAGCGTAACTAGTCATTGTCTACAAAGAAGGTTAATAGTCAAGCCATTTCGATAGTTTGCCTGCAAGGTGATGTCAGAAATAGTCGAACTCACATGTTTCTGTCACAAGGTTACATTAAGTGACCTAATGTATCAAGTTTCCTTAATTGATTAACGTCACGACCAGTAAGCCATAATAGGTTACCACAAACATAAGTGTGCTGTGAATTTTTTTATTATCAAGTCTTTCCTTTCTAAGTGTCTAGATGGGAAGATTCACGTAGATAAAATTGACTCATACACCAATTTAGTACCCGGGGCTTACTTTTAATATTTTGGAGTAAAGGTGATATATTGGTTAAATAGGGATAGTAACAACAAATGATTCGATGTTAGCTGACTGATGTTTGGTACTTAAATACCATTGAGAGACTAGTTAACTTTCTAATGTGTCGGGATATAATGGGTATTTAGTTCACCAGAGCATGATAAGTTGAATCTCGTTCAATGACTTTATATGCGACATTTTTAACATAACAAGCCTACATTTCTGCACAACGAAAAACAGTACAGAGGATTAACATGAACTAACTAGAAACAGGGTACTTTGAACACCTTAGTTCTTCAAGAAATCGGTCACAAGCTTAATAATTCAGTGAAGTTTTTTGCCCATGATATTATATAAGACGGATTCTAACCTTACATGAAACATCAGCTACCCCAAAACTAAAGCTTTGAATTACTGATGGGTTTCTACTAAAACGAAGTGTAGGTCCATAGCTTATTTGTGTTTGTATGAACTAATGATTCTTTTGTACTTGATGCATGTCTGATTTCGAGTTCTAAATACAATACGTTCGTTAGTGCTCACCTAGTTCTGTTTGGCTTAAATTGCACTGTTTCGGGAATTCCTAGTTAATACGATAATTCGAATATTTTTAATTATCATATTATTGCAGATTGGGCCCAATTTCACAACACCGACAAAAGTATACTTTTTCTGATAAACATTAAAATATTGTTAGAAAGTCATTGGATTTACCTGAATAAGTTCATCATGATCAAAATCTGGATCAGAAATATGTTTATGGACTACAGTTGGTTCGATCCAGGCGTTATCTGTATTGATTGTATCATCCAAATATCCAGAATATATCTAAACAAAAAGTTCATTCCTTGAATCAAACAAAGGTATCTGAAAATCATAATATCTAATGCTGACAAGCTGAGATTTATCAGTCACTTTTATGTGTTTATAGACCTACGAGTCGACAAGATTAACAGATTCTGAAGTAAATTTTGTGTTGTTAAAATGACGAAACTTAGTGCTTCAGTACTCAAAGCTTTGATTGCAGAATGTACATTTTCAACTTTCTAGTTGAACATTCGAACATATCCAGTATTTTTATGAACTTACATTTTTGACATTTATGAGTAAGTGAAGTAAAAAATTAAGATAAATGTATTTCATCGATTTATAAGACAGCTACCAATGAAAAATTCTGATCCCGCTAAAGCATTTCTAAGTATTTACACTCGCGAAGTTTGTGAAAGTTTTGAACTATCTACCAGTCACGTTATCAAATACTTGAATGCACACTTTTATGCTTCGTTTTTATGAACAAGCCAGCATTTACGTTAGAATTTGACACGATGTTCAAACATTTGACTTTGATGACTTTCTAATTTAGTTTCTTAGGCTTAACGTTTTGTTAACTGATGTCCAACTGTTATTAACCGCATTTTTAGCGCTTTTTTGATTATTAGTAATTGTTTCATAGAGTTGGTAACTGTCTTTTGATCAAACACTCGTTTGAGAGTAATGGGTGTGTGGACGAAAATAAGGGGGTTAATCATACAATACAACGAAGCGTAGTAGAGCATATATCTTAGTGGCTACATAATCACTTATCATGAAATGCTTTGACAAACATGGGATTCAGAAAACTGTACTTTCCCATGGCGAAATGTATAGTTAAAACATTTCATGGGATTGAACCTTAAAATAGCTTGAAAAGTTTTATATGGAGATTATTAGTTGAGAAAGCCGTGGTCTTTAGAAAACTCAAACCTTATTTTCGTGTGCCAAATATACTAATTCTTATCTTGGATCTTCCTAGGAGGATGAGCTAACTTATTCTTTCCATATCACATTACTTTCCATCTACTTTGTTTTCAAATTATCAATTTTATATTTGTCCAACTTTTTATTTAATCAACCTTGAGTGTATATATGATTAGGTTATTCGAAATGTATGGCAAAAATACATCAAAGTTTCTGAAATTAATGCTAACAAAATAATGAGCATGTTTTTGTAAATATTCATTTATTCCGCTGAGTTAACCAGGTTCTCATTTACCAGTAACAGGGAGAGAGAGAGCGAGTCATAATCTATGGTTAGAAACGTAATGTAACATTAACCGAAATCGACCACAGTAGTGAGATTTCATTCGCTTCCTGTCGTTATTTGACTGTTGAGTTTTATGTCATTCTATACTTTTCATTCTTCATTCATTTGCTCTCTTTGGAATATACTTCTAATTTGTTTTTTATTTTCATGTATATTATAGTTTACACCTATTTTCGTTTTTAATTTCGTAAATTTCATTTTTCGCTGTACCAATATATGAGGTATATCATCTCCGACTGATACACAATATTTCCAAGTCGCTCATTATCAATGATTAACTGTAATACAAACAGTTCATCACTTTTAATCTCATTTCATAAGCAAAGTATTCATTTCAAACAATAACAATTTTAAGAATAATATGTAACTTACAATTTTTGTAGTTAAACTGTTGAACTTTTTCACAGTTTCTACTAAAGTTGTTTTCTTTGTTGGCATCGATTTTATCAAGTGTTTCATACGATTTTTTGTGAGAATACCAAATATTTCGTTGACACATACTTTACGATTACAACCAGTAGGATGTTGAACTAGAAACTAAAATAAGATAATATAAAATAAATGACCATTTCAAAAGTAATAGACAAACCAATCAGAATGTACTTGTATTTCAAAGTAAGAATCATTAATGAATTATAAATTTACATTTTGTTAAATCTAATAATTCTATACTCTTATTTGGTTTACTATAAAAGTTCTATGACTTATAATTAATAATACTTTATCACATTTTCAGAAGAACTTGAACCCATTTATTAATGAATACTCAAACTCAAAACTAAATATTCTAGTTTGCTGTGAAAATAAATCATTTTTAATTTATCTTAAACGTTTATGTAATTATTTAAAATAACCTTAAGCTGCATCAACTTATTAAGTTTGGTAATGCATAATCTTTTCATAATTTATTATGTCATGCTACTGTTCGAGTCATTTTATGACATCTTTCACTTTATTTTATCACTGTTACGCAAATTTTAATATCGATTTCTTTAAAGTTTACTGTAGAACCCTGAGGTACTGATTACTTATTTCTACAGGTAGTGAAATTGTATACTTGAGTAAACTCAATGTTTAACATGCTCATTAAACAAACCAACGTTCAAATAACACTTCCCCTTAATAGATATATACATGCAATGCCTAATTCATATCGTTCATTGTAATCACTTTTGATATCAAGTAAAATAATAAAGTAATTAACTTTATAATCTAAACTTTTTTTTATCAAAATTACTATAGACTTTATCGTTTTTGTTTATGTTTACGGTTTGAATTTTATATAGCTGTTTGTGTAGAAAAACCTGAATTTTAGGTCATAAGGACAAAGGCACTTGATAGTTTTGTTAGTCCTGAATAACGAAAATAGTAGTCTAGAGTTTTCCATGGTAGACTTGAGTCTTTTGTATTTATAAACATACAACAAATTAATAAGTACCATGTCGTTTATAAAAAATTCTGTTTTCTAAGTTGAGAACAGTAATGACTACTATCTTCTGGTGAATCAGTGTTAACAATTATTTTTACTGCTCAGTTAAGATAACCTCAAATATCTCATCAGTAACGATGTTAATTAAAATTATATACCTTACGGGTTTGAAATTCAGGAACTTCAAAATTTTCTAAGTTGCAAAGATGCATTGAATCGTAACGTTGATATCAATGATGCACAAATAATATACCATCTATGTAGACAGTGATAAATTATTCTTGAGTGTTTTCCTTTTAGTATTTCAGTGACTACTTGAGAACGTAATATTTAATTAAGGTTTGTGGAACTCCTAAATTTCTTGTTATAAAACAACTTCATCTCTTCTGATTTTATTTAGCGCATATGTAGTTTTGGTAAAAACTATGACAGAGAACATTATATTCACCAAAAAATGGGCTATTTATCTATAGCCCTTGTCATCTCTCGGTGTACGTTGGTTCATGAGCATTAGTTTTATTTAGTATTCTGGTCCGCGAACCTTGGTGTTACTGAATATGATCAAGGCTCATACTTCCACAATATAAGTCTCTACTCTAAATACTGGGGGATTTAAATACATATAATCAATGCTTCATGGAGCTAAATAATGATATTACTTGCGGCTGGTAGGATGATTAGATAATTAACTCATCATGCATATAGTTTAAATAATTTTAAAATTAATAAGTTTCAACACAATTCAGAGACAAACTTTGTCATGAACTAATGATGGTTTAATATTTATCAAAAGCCGATGTAGACAAGTATATGTTTAACAATATTCCACTTGGCCTTCAGTGTACTGGGTTAATAAAACCGTGGGACTGTACTAAACGCCACAGAGTAGGTAATATTATTCGATTAGATTCTCAACAGCAGTTGCTTGACTACTATTAGGTTACGAGGTGATGGAGAACTTTTGTAGCTCAGGCTGAGAATTTGGTGTTGTTGTTTTTATAGCCTGTTGGTCAACTCTGTTATACCGTGTCTCCACTGTGTAATCCGGGGTCGTTACTTTAATGAGTGACCTCAGTGCTAGCTGACCGTCCGTATCGATATTTTTGGGTCCGTAGTCTTACTGCTTATTCTCGACAATCGTGATTTGCTTCAATTCCCACAGCGCTAAGTAGGAACACGAAAAAGTGGTGCAATGAACATTTATTGATTCTTCAAAAACACGTCCATTAACAAAATGCAATCAGTAATATATGAATTTTTACACACAGTTTATAGTGGAACCTATGGGGAGGAACATGTAGAGGGATTGTAAACACATGCGAAATCTAGTTCACCTCAACTGGTGCAATCAACATAATTGTCACATTGCACGAAGTTCACACTTGTCACCCCGTCCAAAATTCATGATGAATTAAAGCAAAAATATTGACCTAATTAGTGTCATCTTATTCTGTCATATCACACTAGGTTAGAAGGCCCCATAAAAGCGAGGTAAACTATAGTAGAAAACAATTTATGCTTTTAATATTCACTTACATCCCGGATGTAATTAAAGATGAGCTCTACCATTAGTTAAATGATCTAAAGAAAGTGCCATCGACAGATATCGTAGAGTTACGTGGAGGTTTGCATTCCTAGGTTGAATGTCTAGACTCGGTGAAGAGCTCGGTATTCCCTTGTAAGATAACGTTTATCACTCTCTACAGCTTTTTACGAACTTTAAACGTTTTCACATATCTCTCTGAATTCTGATCATACCTTGGTATGTGCAAAGCTTATCAGTGACCAGCCAACTTATAGTCCTACACAGAGCTCTGAAGACTCCTTGCCACTCTATGAGACGCAAGCAGGTCTACTCCGGCGAATAATGAGTATAATGTTACATCTACATCCGCAACTAAGAGAATGCCATAAAGCCTATATAAACAACAAGAAATAAAGCGAATGAGTTGAAGGAAGAAGATGGACCTGGTAATTGGGAGTGGCTGTTTCAACTCATCAGAGTCACTGGTAGCAAGATGTTTGGTTTTAATGACACGATCTTTGAAGTTGATTGCAATGCAGTTCAAAACTTCCAAAAGCTCCCTAAACTCTGTGCAGACGAATCCAACGGACAGTTGAGTTGATATTTTAGCCCAGCAACCTTGATAAGAATCTCTTATTTCCCGACCATTGACTATCGATCCACATACTAAAGCCCACATCCGTTTCTGGTTCATTCTTTATTGACTTCACTATCCTTCTCTCCAAAATTTCTTCACAATATTGTCAGTTTATTTGTGTGGTTCATGTTGTTGGTACCCTATTGTATAAGAATTTTTAGGTGTATATAAATAAAATGGATTAATATTCAAAATTCATTAGAAATCAATCTTCACAGTAAGGTAACTCACCCATGGTAGTTGTGAGCCTAACGGATTTTTATAAACAATAACTTTAAAATCTCTCTCTGTTGTATATTCGGAATCAGATAGAAGTTCACCTATCTTTTTTGTAATGACTAGTATAATAGCTGAGTTTGCACCCCATTCAGGCAAATGTCCTTTTCCATTAACTCCAGTGCGACCACCAGGATTTCTAGGACATCCAGTTATTGGATCGGGAGGAGGAACATTAGGAATTAGTGTTTTGAATTGAAGCTTTCTTTCTTCTGAAATTTCAGCGAAATTTCCTGGTTCAGTCCATCCTTCAATTGAGTAAACTGGAGGTTTCCAGCCTAAACACATTGGTTTCTGTGACTGTTTCTGTTATCAATGAAAAATTATATAAAACATTTTAAAGAATAAATACAAAAGAATATTACGTTTCGTTTTTAATAAATAATCCGCTACACGTATTCTTTTATCCAGATACCGATAAATCAATAGAATCAGTTCATATTGATGAAAATGTCTGAAACGTAACATGATTATGAACTACATTTGAACACTCACAAAACACGAATGTGACTACTTCTCTCAAACACATCAAACAACAAGTGAATAAATTAACTAGCATATTCTCAAACTTTCATGATACATACAAACAATGTAAAATAACTGTACAATATGTAAAATGTAATTACAACACGCAACATGAAGTTGTTAAAAAAAATCAAAAAGCAAAACCATTTCATTACTTTAGAGTATAAAACCATAACAACTATCTAATATTCTTTGAAATAAAAAGAAAATAATAATAATTTCTACCAAAATATGTCACTTTTCAATCAGTATTAATTATAGGAAAAACCTATCAAATTAAACTGAAATCAATCAATCAATAAAAGATTGATAGATTTTCAGAAAATTTCTATTTTGTAAATTGTTTTAAATTCAAATTGATGCATAATTTGAAATGTTATTGGTTAATAACTCTTCAATAATACTAGTGAGAAACTGTGACTAGTGGAGTTCAACCAGATCTGTTGTGAGATAGTAAATCATTAAAGACAATGATGGACGGTGGCTCAATTTTGTGAATTGGTTGAAGTTAGACATTGACACCGTTGGATGCCAGCTCAGTGATCTAGAGGTTAAGCGTTCGCGCGCGAGACTGATAGGTTATGGGTTCGAGTCCCGTGAGCGTGATCGTGGACGCGTACTGCTGAGGAGTCTCACAACAGGACGAAACAGCCGTCCAGTGCTTCTAGGTTTACCATTGTGGATTCATGAATTCAACTATAGAATAAATTTCTATCATTATTATTATTATTATTATTATTATTATTATTATTATTATTATTATTATTAAAGATTCTTTTTAATTACTTGATAGTGAACTTTAATACTTGACATTAGCTATTCAGTAATTCATTATATTTAATTAATAATTTTGCCATCTTTTTGTAAACGCCTTTTATAAGTTCAAATAAAAGAAAACTGTTTTGTTAAATCGTATAATTAAACAAACAATTTTCATGTATTCCATTGCTCAAATGAAAAATAACCTAATCAGAATTGAAGCAACAATACCACTGTAAAAATGTAGATGTTTTTAAAAATAATGTTGCAATAAACGAAAGCACAGGTAGGGACGAGGAAGTAATACACAATTACAGGGTTAATTCATAAGATTTTAAAACCATAAGTTCAATCCTTCATTTGCAGAATGTCCATTAACTGTCTCGGACTTGGTTGTTCCCTCATTTTCATAACGATTACTCTCTGTTTCCATTTTCTTGTATTCAATCTTATCAACTTTCTGCTGCCAAGCACTCCACTTTCGATCGGTGTTACCTACTGCTTACATCTGTCAACATAAGTAGCATACACCACAATGTTAGTAGAAATGTTCTCTCAGCATCATATTTAAGTAAAATTAAACATTATGCTCATGTGTAGATACATTTAAAGGATATTTGACTAAAAGTTTACTTAGTTAAGTATGGACTTTGGCAGACTTATATTGGAAAGAACATTGACTTCCGAATTTTCATTCTAGCTTTTATTGATTTTACTTGTAAGAGACAATATACAAAAATACCATGATCTTATAGTAGTGTGAGTTTAGACACTATAAATTAGCTTATTAAAAAGTTTGTTATAGTTGCAGACGAAATCTTAGGAAAAGTCAATTATGGTTTGGTTGTTTTCAACGTCTTCTTGGTCTCATAGGTCACAACACAAAAGTGTTCACAACAATCTTGTAAGTCCCATACTAAATTTAAAAATGATAATATTGCTGGGATTGAATAAACAGATTAGTATTTTGTAATGTAAAATGATTTGAAAGATCACTAAGACAAACTTTTAGAATAAGATATCTCTTAGTTAAAGTGGAGTACGTTGATTATGTTACGTATCTTTTTGAAGAAATCCAGTGTTCAAGTGGACTAGTTGGTACATTATATGAATTAAGGGTTTTAATTCTTGGCACATTTAATGGTAGATTATATAAGTATAAATTCAGTAATCTGTCTCCTATTATTGCTTATCTAAGGGCGAGAATGTTGTAAACGGAACCTAAACTTATTTTGAACATACAACACTGAAAAACTTAAAATTTAAAAAATTAACGAAGTATATTAGACTTTGATTACATGTTTAATTAGTGTACCGTATATTGACGCTTAATAGTATAAAATCTGAATGCATTCAAATCAATGGATTTCGCAGTGGTGTCAAAAGTTTACATAATATGATTTCGTTTGAAGTTAGTAAAATTTACTTGAGAGTTTAATCGAGCTTTAAAAAATCTAACTTATGGTTCTTCAGAACTAGTTTTTATGTGCACACAAGTAGTTCTTAAGGCAGATTGTACAATCATTAATTAAGAGATAGAATATCTCATCCTTTCTGTTGGAATCAGACATTAAAAAATAAACCATTGTGTGCATTTCCTCAAGTTAAAAATGTGTTTTTATTATGTTCAAACAGACATCATTCATTTGAGATACACTTTTCTACTTTTAATCTCATTTGCATACTGAATCAATTTCTTGAAACTTATCCGGTGGTTGAAAGCGAATGTTAGGAACACTTGAATATAGATTTTGTGCTAGTTGTTACATGAACGTAAAGCATATCTGAAATATAGTCAGCATGTTTATTCGATTCTTCTCGCTACATGCGAAACTTTCAAGTCACTACAATAATCTGTCATTCTGGGGTATAGCTTTATTTTAGAAACTAGAATTATGTCCAGCTATATCACTACTCATTTTTAGGACCCCTCCGTGATCTTTACTAACAATCCTGTTAGAGTATAAACTCAACTCATTCTGTCATTGCGACGAGTACGATATTGACTCAGCGGTTATTGGTATCATACTTACAGAGGGACCAGAAGATTTTGATTTCGAACTAAGATGATGTTATTGGTGTATATAGCTGATGAGTCTTACATAAGGTTGAAGTAGCTCTACTATGGTATATCGTTTCAATAGTTATCAAACTATTGCTTAGCCGTAATGGACATTAGTTTCATGTTAAACATTCTCTACATACCACCTTATTTGAAACTTATCCCTTTTGCTTCAATTTCTATTCAATAAATATCAGTTAATTACCTATATACACCACACACTAAAATGATAGTGAAGTAACTAACATCGTTCAGTAATGAACTTTTTGATTAGTGTTGAAAAATATTTCATGGCAGCTTGGAAACTATCAATTAAGATTAGTAAATGATTGAGTTTGTTGTAGAATTCATAGTCATCTCTGTTGACATGTTCCACTCAATTCAATGTGACTGAGAGGTATGTATTATGGAATTTTAGTTGGTTAATTGACGTCATTGTATTGTTTATATTTGTATATAATCAACATAGAACATTCGCATTTTCTTTATTAGATACCTTTATTTGGATCACTATCTGAATTTTAAAAAGAGATTAGCTAGCTATTTATTTGATCAAACAATTGATTATCGAATAACAAAGTGAAACAACTTGTTGATATCGAAATTCAAATGGAACATTTAGTGTTTAGCCATAAAAATAGACAAGTTTTTAAAATTTTGCATTTCTGCTACAAAAAATGTAATCAACGTTTACCTACACAATTACATAAAATTTTCATTGAGAAAACATTTGAGTCGAAATATTTCTATTAAATTTTAATAACAAACTTATATTAAAATATAATCACTTACATCCCATGGTATTGGATGAGGAAATAGACGAGGTGTACGATCAGCTGTTGGTGGCACAAATCCTGCATATTTGTGTGATCCTTTTTCAAAAACAGCTAGCTGACTGCTTTTTGTTCCTTGAATCAGTTTTATCATTGGTTGATCAGTTGATTTTGATCTGGAGTAAGCTATGTTTGGTTTTTCTTTAGCTATACAAGAAACAAAGAAGGAAGCTTGTTGAAGTGAACAATTGAATTTAGATAATAGTCTTAATAGACTTTTTAGATAGGTTTGTAAAAAAGGTATATTAGTGAATGGATCAACTCTCGGTGACCCAGCATGAAAATTCTTAGAAGTGATTAGGATGTCATATTTGTAATGATTTATTTAGTCAAAAAAGTAGTGGTTAGGGTGCTTCAACTTCTTATCCTATGCATAACATACATACTAGGACATAACCTTAAATGAGATAGACGCTGCGTTCAAATGCAGGAGTGGATTTCTATGAGACTAGTTTCGGAGACAATCACTGATATTCGAAACTGCATACGAAAAACTAACTTTGTAACTATCATCAGTAAGGCAAACTTTTCAGATGGTATTGATTGACATTGAAAACTATCATTTAATTAAGGGGACATTTAAATTATCATTCTCAATTACCAGTGTATATATTTAATTAAAAGTCTTGGAAGGAAATTTGTGTCTTGATACGAGATTGGAACTAGAAAGGTTCATGTTCTCAACTTATACCAACATTCGTTTCGTCCTCAGATGAGTTCATCAATAACCATAAACCTTTTTAATTCACTTGGTATTGTTTTACTTGAATCCTCACATTGATGTTTAAGACTGAAATTGATCAGTCTCTTATTGGCATATGTACATACTGTGCGTATTGCCTCGATATTACCTGAATTTACAAGCATTATAAGCAAAGATGGATAGTGTCTAGCAGTGGAATCCAGGACATGCATTTCGTCCTACTTGGGGCTCGTCAGCTGGATGTACCTGCATCTCAGAGTTGATGTTGACTCTGGGACTCGAACCCAGTACCGTTCGCTTCAAATGCCATCGCGTTATCCACCAAGTGAATTAAACTTCACCCCATTGCACAAGAAAGTGGCTATCACGACTCAGTAGCTAAGTGGATAACGCAATGGCGTTTGAAGCGGACGGTACTGGGTTCGAGTCTCAGAGTGTACATCAACTCTGAGATGTAGGTATATCCAGCTGATGAGTTTCAAATAGGACGAAACAGGTGTCTTGATTTCCACTTCTAGTCACCATCTATATTTGCTTATAATAAACCTTTTTGTTATTTTATATTTCTACTTGGCCTAATTATAATTAATCATTGTAGTGACAATGTTTTTTTTACTGAGATAACAATCTAAAAGCAATACAAATAAATACAATCACCGTTTTAAAATTCTTAATCTCTTGTGTTAAATACATTAATATAAATAAAGAAAATTAAAATGTTTGGACAAAAGAGCGTTTTTTCACTAACTTATAAGTATTCTTTCAAGCCTTGAACCAAGAGATGTATCCATGCCTAAAAAATAAAACAAACGAAAAAAGAAATGAAAAAAATAGATTGACCAATAGTATTACTGAATCCTTAGTAATGATAAATAGGATATATTTATGACGGAATAAATAAAACTAAACTTTTGATACTCAACAGTTTCCCCCCAATAAATTTAATCACTTCATTAGTGATAGGTTTAAGGCTGAAGAGTGACTAATTTAAAGCAGGCACTACAAATCGATATGATCAATCAAACATCACTCTTAATGAATTTTTGATTTAATGTATTTCTAATCTTTTTGGTTGATTTATGGGTGATCATATTGATTTACTGTATTTCCAGAAAGATCACATGCAGATTAATATGATTACTATCAATCGCAATGAGGTTAAAGAATTTTCAGTCATTAATTCTTAATTAATAAGGCTTATTATTCTAATATATAACAATTTATTTAAAAAAAGTATTGTAACCTAATTTAGTTTAAGACACCAAATTAAACCATTAATTTTTAACGAAAATGATTTTTACATAAAATAGTATTTTGTAGCTAATCCTACGGATGATCATACAGAGTTTTCTTGATCTTATTGCGAACTATGTCAATATTAATTTAGATATTAGCTTCTGAAAAATTTTAAAACAAAAAACTGACCAACTAAATATATAATAAATGCATCAAAACTATGTAGGTATCACTCTCTAAGCTTAGATAAAATGAAATAAAATTCATTTTCTATAACTGAATAATAAGGTGAATGCATGTTTTGTCTCATTTCGCTACCTTTTTTTCACGAAATAAAACTAAAGATAATTAGTATTATTTCAATAAATGATAGAATTGAAATACCTGCTGGCTAGAAAAGTGTAATATATTCTCTGTAAAAGTTGATAGACCTAGTACAAAATACTAATTGCATCAGTAGTTACTTTATGGTGTGCTACAGATGTTGATATATATATATATATATATATATATATATATATATATATATCATCAATTGAAAGTGAAATGCCTGGAGGCAGAAGGTTAAGAAGAAAAGGGAGCCAAAACAAAGAAGGATTAGTGTGGCAATGAAAGACGATTGATTGACATTTTTCAAATGAAGTATTCACTGTATGATTCTCAGATTTCACTAAAACGTTCTGTAATTTTGTATTCAAGTGCATTAGATTGTCCCCATTTGTGTTCTCATTCACTACAACTTGAGTCAAGTCATGTAGATAATATTTTTTGAAATCAATTGGTTAAGTTTTTCTAAACTTATCTTCAACTTTACTGAAAACAACAATAAATTTACTAGTCGGTTTTCTGCGAATTATTGATTTTCGTTATGATTACTTCAATGCAAATAATTAATAATTATTCGTTTAAAGATCCCCGTCATATTAAAAGACTAGTATTTGAACGAAGAATATTCTTTTCGATAAATTCTCATCAGGTTCTACAGTTATACATCCAAATTAATAATCCGAAAAAAATGGCCAGATTAAGGGCAAAATACATCGTTAAGAGCATGTGAATTTAGGATTGTGATAAATAAAATGCAATAAAATTATTAATGTTAATATGACTTATATAGAATGTAAACTTGAATCAGCTTATATGTTTAAGATCCATATTTATTCTGATCATGGATCTTAAACATATAAGCTGATTCAAGTTTACATTCTATATAAGTCATATTAACATTAATAATTTTATTGCATTTTATTTATCACAATCCTAAATTCACATGCTCTTAACGATGTATTTTGCCCTTAATCTGGCCATTTTTTTCGGATTATTAATTTGGATGTATAACTGTAGAACCTGATGAGAATTTATCGAAAAGAATATTCTTCGTTCAAATACTAGTCTTTTAATTAATAATTAGTCGAATGGGTTTATTTTTTTCCACTATTGATATATATGTATACCTGTTTAATAATCGGAGTATAGAATTGAGAGATTACGAAAATAAAATATCTTACCTGTTTGCTGTTTAGGTTGAGTTTCTTCTGATTGTAATTTCTAGAGAGATCATATTGAATATAGTGTTTGAAACAGTCGTGAAAAAAAACAAAAAACCAAACCAATTTAAACTTATCCTAATCAAAGTGAACAAAGTTTAAATGACGAATGGTTATCAGCTTTTTATGAATTATTTTGCTCTACTACTGACATAATAATTATCTGTACAAATACAAATTTACGAGAGGTAACGTTTACAGTAAGTTCATTGATGTGAATACATCCAATTGTAAGTGAAAAAACTGAAGGAATGGATTAGACGAAGAAAGTGAATATTTATTATACTTAGTTATTAGTGTTTAGTTCAGAGCTATAAAGTCGAAAATTTATGGAAAAGAAAAGTGACTGATGATATTTTAAGAATTACCATTGATCTCATTGAAATCACATGTTACAAAACATGTATTCTTATTAGTCTCACATACACATGGATTATCCCATCTGTCTTAGTTCACTTGGTTAACCTATTTTCTCTCGAAATGGTTTGAGTTTGTCAGCGGAATACCTTGAATGTTTATCAATCATCGATGGAAATTACTAAATTCTAGGACAATTCGTCTACTTCTTACAAAATAGACATAAATATGAATATCTGATGTTCTTCTGATGTAGAGTATTAATATAGTTGAGTGTTGTACGATTAAAAACGCTGTTTTTATAAAAATACTTTCATGTGTCATTCTGATATACTTGAGTAACTAACTGCTGAACAACATTTAATATTGTTAGTCTGTTGCCGCTCAGTGTAGTCACTTAGTTCAGTTAATCGAATATGTTATTTGGACGTAGAATGCCTGTCATGGATGTTTATGATTAATGTCATAGATACTTTGCCAAGATATTGCTCAGACAATTGAAATTTCTCCAATTTACTCAACAGAACGTTTACAAGTATAACTTTCACTTGTTAGTTATTCTGTCCGGTATCCGAACGCAAACTGTCTGCTACGATCATTGATGGTTTCTCAAATATTATTGATTTGTACGGAAAAATACCAATGGTATTTTATTCAACTCTAAGTAAGACTTGTGATTTGTGAACATACTAAATGTCTAACTGTTAGTACTTTCCATCGGTTAATAAATTAAAATGTATTTGAAGTGACATTTTTTGAAAGTTATTTGGAAGAGAAAATCATAAATATATCTTTGACCAACTTTTTCAGTTTCATGTGTGCTATACATACATGTCGAACAGTGGTTGGAATAAAAGCTTTGACAACAATCCTTAAAAAAGTAACCTCATTTACGACAAAATTAACCAACTTCTACTATTAATACTACTCGCGACAAATTTGTCCTTTCTTCAGAATGGACATCCAAATTTGAAATCATCATCTTTACAAAACATCACACAACATTCATCAGTTTACTACTCTAAGGGATTGTTGTTCTTAAACTCTCTATCAAAACCTGATAACGCATATACATGTCCTTCTACCAAAATAAACAAAACTTCTTTACAACTCTGTATTTTGTAACACATGGAGCTCGTGTTCTTCCCACGACGTTTATAGGCTCAAGATCTCTTTGATGAGAACAGTGATCTGCTCACGTATACATTTCTATAGAACCTTGCATCCACTCCTTTGCTTCAACATTATAATTTCATAGTGCTGATTATAATTAATTTTAATTTGAAAAGAAAACTGAAAAGGCATTAATCGTTGTCAATCATGATTTGAGAGGAATAGAAATGTTTTTTTTGTCTCTTAAATTATCAGATCTTTTAGCCAAACTTTAAGTAGTACAGATGAATATCTCAGTAGACGCACATATTCTAACATTTACCGTCGATATCAATTATGACTCCGTTAATGATAATTTAAATTACAAATGGAAGCTGTCGGGTTGAAAAAAGTACATGATCTTTGTGTAGTGATTAAAAGTCCTTAACAATCCAACTCTGTAGGAGGTGATTATAGGTTATAGTAACATTTCTAAACCAATATACATTAGTTAAGTAGTAAATAATGTATATTTCGTTATAACCAAAAATCCGAACAAAATAATAATAATAATAGCAAAATACCTTTAAGTTTAATTCTTTGATTAAGCTTAATACTCTATCAACTTTCTCTTCAACAATTTTAAGTCTATCAGCTTTTGATTCAACTCTTGCTAGATGATCCTGCGTTGTATGATAATATGTTGAGATAGCTGCAGCTATTTCTGATGACATTTCAGCACCTCTATTCATTTGCATTACTGTAGTTCGAACACTGACCATTTTTCCAGTCTCTTTCTGTTTACGTTTTTTACCTTGAATAATATATCGATCATAATCCCAAAAACGTAATCTTTCCCAATGTATAAGACGTAGTTCTTGAGATGATCCAGATTCAAAGGATTTTTCTAGAATTGTTAATAAATCAATCAATCGATATTTTTTCTCATCCTGTAACTTTAGTGTTATATTTATTATTACTACTGACTGAGAGATTAAAAACAAATTTAAATCTATTAAATTGAAACGATCATCTGAGCGAGTCATTTAGCTGTTTTCGGAACAATTGATACTCTAAAACATTATTACCAGTTTTACTAGAAACACTTATGTAGATTACCCTCTTGATGATAGCTCATTTCATATAATTGTTATACGTATATTTGTACAAGGTATAATTACTTCTTCTGTGCAAAAAAATGGCTGATTTTATGATTCTCTACAATAAACAGAAATATTATTTGTGGACTCAGAAAGATTCATTTAATTTTATTACTTGAGAAATTTTATCACTGATGATATTTTATCTGATAAAGTTCAGAAACAGAGTAAAATTAACAGTGAATATTTATATTCCTCTTTTTGAAATTATCCAACTTATTAAGATAAGGAAAAAGGAAAGGAGATAATCATGTTAACTGAATGCCATTAAAACACTACCAGAATAATTATCAAACACATAGAAACTGATCATTACTTAGTAATAAATATACATTCTATGTTTAAAATATACCAAAAATTGTCAATATAATCAATTCTTTTCTTTAGATCATAAACATACAGTAATTAGGCAATCATCGAAAACCAGGAAGCACTGAAAAGTTGTTTTGTCTTTGTGCGGTATTTTTCAGTGGTACGCATCTATGACCTCAATCGATATCAAATGCGTGACCTTTAGGTCTCGTAATGACTCCTTAGATTTCATACAACTGAGCTGGTGCCCAGTAGTTTATGTCTAACTTTCATCAATTCGCAATATTACTCAGTCACTTCTCAATGTCACTGGTGGTTAACTGCCTCATGACGCTGGTATGTCAAGGCTTCTCACTAGAATTTCGATATTACCTCTCGAAATACGTCACAAGTAAGTATATGATTATGATAAGAATAAAGGTGTTGTCAAGTTTATTGAGTTTCAGCTCATGATGTAAATTATAAAATTCGGTAATTTCCGAAAAATCCCAAAGCCAGTAATAATGAATTATATATATATCGTTTATCGACACCAAATGTAATATTAAGATACAAGATTTGTATAGACTGTTAGTTTTTGAAGTGAGTTTTTACCACAAACTGTCATAACCTGATGAACCGATAAAAATCTGAGAGCACTGGTTAGTTACTTATTTCTATGTTAAAATGGTTTAAAAAAGCATAGTGTTTAGGTCATTTGGAGGATACGGATTTGAAATCTGATGAGGCATATCTCGGGAAATAAATAATTCAGTACAAATAATTTGGCACGGATACCTAACTTAAGCAGCTGACTTTCCGTGTAGTTTATTGTTTCTTGATTAAAAGTAGTTCTTTAATATAAAACATTTTAGGTTTTGACTTGAAGAACTGAATTCAAAATCTTATGGAAGAGATATTAATATGAATTAGTAATAAGGTTCAAACTGCTTTGTACTAGTAATGAATACTACATTATGACTTATTTTCTTCTTGGAGTATGATAAATAAATATATATATAACTTACTAAACGGATGATCACTTTTCAGTGGACTTTTCCTGCAGCCTCTTATTATATAACGTATTATTAAGTAAATATACCAGATTATGTTTAAAGGAGGTGGAATCGGTGAACGATTCACATATTCTCCTACTATATGATATCTTTGTAATGCCCAATATTTTGTTGATGCCGATTCAATTCTCATATACGTAGAGCTAATAAAATATTAGAAAAGAAATATAAATTATCATTTCAAAACATCCCAGAAAACTCATCAGTATTTGTAATCATGATTTTATAGGAATTACATAACTTAATAGCCACATGCGCAGCTGCTAATATCAATCAACTCTATCAGCTAAACAGACAAATCACATACAGATGGATGGAATATTTTACTTCAGTTCCAGTCAAACTAGAATCTTGTATTTAAATTACAATTTATCGTAAGTGATTAATAATATGAGCAATGAAACTAAACATGTAATTGTTGGATGATATAACTATCATTATTTCAGAAAAAGCATATAAACCACCGGGTACTGACTAAAAACCTTAAGCTTTTTAAAAATCAAATGAATAGTAAAATAATTCCTGGTTATTTGTAGTCATATATATTTTCTCCTTATAATGACAAAATAGCTACCAACTTATCACCATAGTCATTATAGATTACTTTCGTTTGAAACAACTAGACGTTTGGCTTCAATATAACAGATAATTTGTAGTTAAATTTATTATCAATGACAATGACAAAATAAGGCATAAGTGCCTACAGAATTCCTACTTTAGATTGTTGTAAAAAGGGAGAGTAATATGTCTTTCCTTCTATTTATATTGATAGATTGTCAATTTTATCCAATTGGAAAAATATAGCTATACAAATGGTTAATAATGTACGAAAATGTCATAGATCTTATCAACACAATCGTGCATAGATATCAGATGATTCAGGGAAATCTATCATTTGATTGAGTCAGATAGTAGAAAGAGTAACTCCTTAGCAAATGTTACTTATCATTTATATTCTCCCTTATTATGTTAATACAGGTACATCTAATTTGAATGTTTTTGAATATATTTCGTACAATACTAAGCTAGTAATTTTCATAATGAATTTTTATTAATATTACTGGACATGTATCAATAGATGTAGAAAAGAATTATTGTTGTCTAGAAAAAGAAACTAACAAAAATCAAAGAAGAATAAATAGTTGTTTGAAACTTTTCATCATTCCCATTCACATTTTCGTGTCGAATCGAGATCAGAACTTACTTTTTTCTTCACAGTGATGACTAGACTAATCGCTTGTAAAGTTGAAATTAGATTGTTCTTAGTTTTTTTTGTTTTAATTCTATCGATCCGTTATTTATTCCAAACTTAATGGAATATGGTTGTAGGTGTGGTTTCCTAGGGAATGATTTACTAAATTTAAATAAATTTATGATGCTTTCCAGTTTTCTGTCGTTTTTCAGTTGATATAATTTTGTAACACAAGATAATTACAGTTTGTATTCGTCACATCAACAGATTCTTAACTATTTTTATCATATAGAAGCGTACATATTTCATTGGACAGATTTAAAAATGAAATAATTAACTTACGCAAACATAGCAATTACAAGATTCAATAGTAAAACTTGAGTAAGTATTACATATACACCAAGAAGTATTGGTGATAGCCAAGTGGACCAGCCTCCTGGACAGTTAATTTTATCATTCTTACAGGAGTCCAATAAAACTAATCAAAAGAAATAAATCAGTATAGAAAATTAAAAAGTGTTCTGTCGAAACAGATTAGGTTGATCTACTCATTTACATAAAGATTTTTCTGTGAATGTCATCATTTTTGCTCATCATTCTCCTTTCAGAAAAATCTGTATGCGTGAAAATGCAATAAAACTGTTTCAGTAGTCAAAAGTTGACTTCAGAATGTATTTAAGTGGTCTGCATAAACTCTCCTGTGAAGAATATCTAGAGTCATTCGTGAATTACTTCTAGCTCCCAAAAATCTTCCTAATTAATTTATTCTAAGTAAAAACGCTTCACTATTTAATGTAATATTGTGGTGCATTCTATATATGCTTATATCGACAGACATAAGTAGTATTTAGCGTCATCAGAAGTTGAATGCCTGTCAAAAGAAGGTTGAGAAGATTTCACTGAAGAAAACAGAAAGGGCAACACAAGAAAACTGAGAATTGCAAGAATCATGAAGGATGTAAAGGACAGTTGATGGAAGATTTGCAAATGAACTATTGAATGCATGGTTTTCACTCTGCGATTTTATGTTAAATAATATATTGATTGTCACCATCCGAGTGTTCGTTCACTGCAATATATTTTAAACTTTTCGTACAGTCTATTTCTTCAGTTTGAATTCATTATACTTTCTTCTGTTTTTAGACGTTTCCAAATAAACTAAATGTTTGAGATACATGTGATAAATATATATAGATCATATTAAGGTCTACAAAAGCAAACTTTAGACAGGAAAATTACATATGAACCCCATCATGAACAAATATCAAAACTTTCTTTAATAAAATTGTTTTTGAAACAAAGCAATTTTATACATAATTGTCAAAGTGTTTTCTAGGGTGCTTACCTTCACCAGATAAAGTATTCATTTCATATTCACCGAACACTTGGAAATAGGCCAATTGTAAAGCTTTGAACACAGTGAATAAATTTGTTAGTGGATTTAAACTAGCCGTTGATTGATAAGCAGTAACCCATTGTAATATTGCAAATCCAGCTACGACAACAGTGAACAAAGCCAAAAATGGAATTAAATCACGAACAATCTGCAAAATAAAATGAGAAATTTCAGTTTATTTGTTTAAACATAGGCATTATTGACCTTGGTTATGATTAACGAGTGTTAGAAAACAAATCGTATTTAGCCCATCCGATCTAAACAGACTTAAAGAATTTATGTTGTTTCAAAATCTTGCAAACACTAAAAATATACTATCCAGCAGGAAGAGCTAGGATGATTTTCTATTTAAGTGATACTGAAACTCCAGGTAAGTAATGTGCGGGCGAGAATGATAATGATTGGTTGTCTACTTAGTCGGACATGTAGATAGTCTGACAGGTGTCAGATGAGTAATATATTTCCCTATCCTTATAATTATTATCACTGATTGTTCATTGTTGTTGGATTGTGTCGTGTTTCTGGCATGGAAATATATTTACGTTGTGGTCAGGCTAATCACGTGTTCTTGATATGAGTTGTGTTGACGTCCTGTAGAATAGACACTGGGAGGGATCTAGTGTAGATATTTGTTTAAGGTAAATTAACGTCCGATAAGCGTAAACGTTGGAAAACCAACCGTTATAACAGCAAATAATCGGCTTTTCATTCGAATAACTCATAAAAAGATATGCTAAGTCTCAGAGCTTAAGATCCATGTTATATATATATGGATTTCTATCATCGGAATAATTGATTAATTATTTCAAAACTGAGGTGGAAACAATGATCGAAGTCATGAATTATCAAAACAATCCATTTCAATTATTTTAAACATATTAAAAGATACTTACCATAGATTGTACCATAATAACCATTGGTCCTAAACGTATATTTACTGTAAATAATTCTAAGATACGATGATAGAATATACACAATGAAAGTCCAAAAAATATTCTTGCCAACTGCAATAAAGCTTCTTGTATAGCACTAACTGGATTCACTGGTGTAAATGATAATCTTTCCGCTTCTTCAGTCAATACTAAAAGTTGTAATGCTGTGCCAAGTATAAATATAATAATGGCCATAATTTCCAAACATTTCCATAGCTTTGTTAAATATATTTTAAATGGAACTTCACCCAGCATTCCCTGATCAATAGTAGAGAGGAAGAGCACAAAATAAATTTTTGCTTAGAGTTTTGAAAACCTGTCTAGAAGTAGACGATATATATATATATATATATATATATATATATATATGGGTCTCGAAAAAATCTAATATAAGTTATTTCCTTCAATGTCAGGTTTGTTGGGATCGTCGGAAAAAATCCGATGATTAGACTTTACCTATCGGTTCTTCGTACATTTACCACTTTAAATACCCTTTAGTAAACGAGGCACAAGTACATTGGAATGACCATAAAAATTTAATGAACAACGGTCGGTATCAGATATTGACTGTTAAAAACATTTTTAGAATGTACTTTAAATAACTACAGTTTGAATGTGTGTGTGAGATATTTGTTATACTGATAATTTTTTATTGCATCGCGTTATAAGTATCAAATAAAGCTGTTATCATTATTTTATGTTTTTGATTGAGATCATGAAAACTTGAATGCACTGGACTGCCGTTTCGTCCAACTATGGGACTTCTCCGCTGTGCGCATTCTCCACAACCCTATACTGATACTTACTATATGCTCCCTAATTACTAGCATCGTGAGGTAATTTTCAAGGTTCTGGTGATAAACCGTGACCAGTGGAGATAATTCGTGTCAGGTAGAGACAGGCATCTACCTCAAACAATGGTAGATACTCGCGCAATTTTGTGGATTGGTTGAAGTTAGATATTAACACCGTTGGATCGCTGCCCAGTGGTTTAGATGTTAAGCGTTCGCGTGAGAAACGGAAGGTATTGGGTTCAGATCCCAAGTGCGGGATAGCGGAGTCCCATAATAAAACGAAACGGCCGTCCAGTGCTTCCAGGTTTTCAATAGTGGTCTAACATTGAATAATTCATGATTTTAATCAAAAACTTAACAATCTCCACAACTCCAAACTTATCATTATTCTACTGTTTTTATCTTATTCAGCATTTATTACTGTTAAATGTAATTCATTAGAATACTAAGTTATGAAATCGATTGTTCACATTTTATTTTTGTATCGATTATGTAAAATATTTTGTTTTTAAATTATATTTTGGTGTTGTTTATTTTAAGACCCAGTTTTGATGTGAGATTTCAAAATGAATGAACTTGGCTAGATAGTTCATACAGTTTAAACTGAATGTTTATGCTGGTCTATTCAATATATATAGTAATAATGAATAAACTTCTAATACTAGTGGGTGAGTATGTACTGTTGTCATTCATACTTATCCAGTTCAAATAAACCTAAGATTAGAAAGATTATCACAATATTTGTAGTTAGAAAATGTCAGGCATAAATTCTTAAGTAGGACGTCATAATAAAAATTGTGATAGTTTTAATGGAAATTTCTTCAAAGTAATTAATGTTATCTTTATCTTGAAAAGCTTAAGACATAATTTGCACGTATCTCAAGTTAAATCTAATGATATATATGATATATATGAACAATCGGCACTGATTCTACCGCTATAAAAGATTCATATAGCTTATGATAACTTAAGTCTATAACTAAAAATTACATTATCTGGAAATCGATCAAACACTTTTTTAAGTTGAGTAGCAAACAGTTAAAGGTTTAGCTTGAATTTTTAGGATAATGACTAGTATATTATACAGTGAACTTTATGACTCCTATTCTGACAGATGTTTAAAAGGGTTTGTTGTTCTAACCAACTCGTTTCACTCTTCTTATATGTTACTCCTCATCAAAATCAATCTAATTTGACCGTTCTTTCTCATTATCTATCACAAATTACTAAGATATACTATGATGTCCAGCAAGCCAAGTACAATACAGTTCAATATAATGTTATTCTGTTATCTATGTTGTAAAATTTGTCATAATAGTTTAATGCTAAAATGGTTTCCCACTATCCCTAATATCTATCATTTATTGTATACCCGTTAAACATGCATTTTTATCTCTTCCACTCTTTTTTATTTACTAAGAAAACGATTTTCAGAAAAAACACTCACCATTTGATACTAAGTTACATAATAATATATAATGTGCTGATAATTACAGATAATAATGGACAAAAAATAATAAATAAGGTAAACCCACATGACGTATATGTTCTGCAATAAAAGAGATCACCCACATATATAAGAGAATATTTTGAAATGAGAACACAGGTAAGAGTAGATCAACAGCAAATAGTAAAACGTAGGTAAAAAAACACAAAAATGCAATGTAGGAGATCTGTGAATTAAAAAGAAATAACAACAAAGAGAAGAATTATTAATCATATTGAAAAAAACTTTATTTATAAGCAGATCATAATTTAGAGGTAATTCTACATACCATTTTATACCTCATTGAATTTATGATTTGTTGCAGTTGTTGTGTAAATTGTTTTCAAAAATTGTTCCACATAAAGTAACTCAAGATATGATCATCATTAGACAAGTTTGCTATTTAATAGAACATAACAACTCGGATACGGGAAAATATCTCAGCTTGATTCTATAAGGGTGAAAGGAAAGCAGTTAGGAGTTCTATACTTTAATACCTAATCGACTGTAACCATTCTACAGATCCACAATTTGATTTTAAGGTTGTTTATATGATTCGTTCAAATCTGCCCAGATGTCTTCGTATCCAACTCTTAAAAATAGCCGAAGCTCTTACCATCCAGGAGCTTAAACCAGAACTATGCGTGCAAAAGAAGTACGTCTTATCGTTATCGTTACCTTGGCCTTAATTATTTTGATTATCCTATTCTTCTTCTTCTTCTTCTTCTTATTATTATTATTATTATTATTATTATTATTATTATTGCATTCCCCCTTCACTTATGTCTTATATTCTGATTATTTTATTCATAAATACTCATAATATCACCTTATTTATTTTTTACATCTCTATGACCTTTAATTATTATGACAAAAACATCTTATTATATTCACTAAATCTATTGTTATCATCCGTATTACGTAATCTAGTATTATAATCTTCCTATTACGTCATCTTGGTTAATTGTGTTCACATTTCCTCACGGAATTAGTACTTTTTTCATATAAATACGATTGTACAGCTTGATAATACATCCGTTGAAAAGAGATCCCTTCACTGAACTTCGTTTTTTAATTTTAATATAGCAAATAACTTTTCCTATGTTCATAATAATAATGGTAGTAAAGAACTTTATGCAAATATATCAAAACGAATTTCTTTTGTTTTAAGTTTGCTCTTTAAGAGGTGTTTTCATAACACAACAGTCGTTTGTTGAATAATGTTAATTCTTATGTAATGGGATACTAATTAATTCCATCAATTCGGTAATGTAACCAAATAGACTGAATATTGTTAATATTGATTGTTAGTGATCGTAGAAACCTATTTAAATATATCTAGAATCCGGGTTTTGTTATCATTAGTATGTATCTTAAGTTATCTTCTAAAGATCTCTTAGCACTTTTATCAAATATATAGTTTTGTAAGATGAATCATACAATCGATTATATGAAATTAACTTAACCCCTAGAACTAAGCGATTTATAATGATTTTTTTCATTTGTGATTCACGAATTTGCTTCATCTATTCTTATTGACGTGTATTTGTATACCGATTGGTTTGGTGATAATATTGTTAGTTTCAGAATTGTTTGTGTAGGCTTAAAGTTCCGAAAAGAATCTTAATTTTATTTAAGTGGAAGATACGTTATATGAATGATCAATAGTACAGAAAAATCGAAGTACAGTAATTCTTGATTACATATTCTAAATATATAACACTAGGTTCCCAAAGTGCCCTCATCCTATGTTCATAATTTTTATTTTATATGTATAAATAAGTGATTCAGTTATTAATCGAACAGAATTAATTAATCTAGTCACCTTACTAACAAACCGGAAATATATTCAAATCGTAAATGAATGGAAGTATCTTTGGTGGATGATTTAACTAAATTCTAGGATAATTAAGTCGACCAATTGGTAAGATCTGATATCATACTTAGATGTTGCATATTTTTTATTAGAAGAGGAAATCAATATGCACATATATATTTTTTTAGCGAATGAGAGAATCCTTCAATTTAAATCACTATAAATTACTAATCATCAAGTGCTTTTTACTAACACAGATACTCCGGTAATTTCAACTCAATATGAGACATTACTATTTAATGATGATGTTCTACCATGAATAAAATGAAATAATTTTTTAAAAAGTATTATTTAATCATCAGATCTTGTTCAAAAGCTATTGAACAACAAATGAAAATTATCTTATGCCTATCGGAAATTCTGAAGTTATCAATATTAAAACAATTAGTCCCTTTGATAATGCAATAAAAAGACGAAGTTTATCAGAATTATGTGATATATTTGCGCAATAGATTTCGAACAATCTGATCACACATAAACATTTTTCTATGAACATTAAAAGGTCAACTAGACAGATTAAAGGTAAACCGTAACAAGGGTCCCGGCAGGGTCGTGGATGCACACTGTTGAGGAGTATCACAATAGGACAAAATGGTCGTCCAGAGCTTCCAGGTTTTCCATGGTGGTCTAACTTCAAATGGACTCATGATCTGAACTACTGAAATTACTACAATCTCCACAAAACCCATTCTGATGATAATAAAGTACACAAAACCAATGTGATTACCACTCTGGATAATAAATCAGTACTACCAGGGTAGGCTAAAGGTAAGGACAAATTGTTTTGAGTTTCCGTATAGCCAAGGCTTCAATAAACCTTAGTATACGTCCTTGAAGGCTTTGTGTAACACTACGAATGATGACTTGGTGTCAAGCTTATGACCAGTCTCAATCAAATGTTTCGCAATGGAGGATGATGTCTGTCTATCTTGTGATTTTATTTGAACATTGGAATTCATTTGTTTCTGCAGCCATTTTGGTATGTGTTCACCCACCCTTTATTGCAAATCACAATTGTTCCTCCCTATGTACGTGTTTCCACACATACATATAAATTCATAGACACAATCGCTTACTTGCTGTTTGGGCTTTTGACGAAACATAAACCTTGTCTTTTCAATAATGACAAGTTGGGCTGCATAGAGTTTCCGGTTGATGGCTAATTTAGTTCACCATTTCAACATGACACTATTTGTATCGCCTCTATCACGTAATTCTGATAAACTTCGTTTTTTCGTTGCATTATCGAAATTTATCAATATTAGTTTAGATTTGTCTTCGAATGGAAAATTATGGGAACAGACAGAATTGTACTATGAAAATATCTCAAGATCGTTTTCAATAAATGTCATAGTTGAAGCGTAGATTTTTAATTCTTAGTAAGATAAACAATTCCCAAGATAAAAATCAATAAAAATATCCTTTCATAGTCTCATTAGGTGAGACTAGAAGTTAATTTGTGTGAACAAGATAACAATCGAAAATATCCGACGTATTTTTTTGAATATGATTGATATTACAAAAAAAATGATCTTCAGTAATATTTCACTTCTATTTTACATTTCACTAACAACAGATAACAAATTTTCGTACATTAACGTGATCACTGACATTACATCTTCGTTTAAATTACTTGAATATATATCTAATGAATAAGTTTCTTACTGTTGTATATGAAAATCGTACACAAGGTGATAAATAAAATCCTCGAAGCTTTTGAAAATACATAGATAATGAATTATCGGCTCTAAAAAGGTAAATAAAAGATATAGTTAGTCAGTTTAGGAAATATAATTCACAAGCGTTTAATAAATATTTCTACTAAAGTTAAAGATTATTAGATTTGAATAATCAGTGCGTTTTGATTAACCCTAAATCATCATAGCTAAAATTGTTTAATTTCCAGTCTAAAACCGAAGAAATAACGATCTGAATGTTCTAACAATGACGTTAATCATGGGTAATGATGACACTAAAATTAAGTTTGTCTTATGAACATAAAATAAAAATCAAATCAACGTAATTCTAAACAACAAGTTCAAATTAGCATAAAGATGTTTTAGATTTCCTTCGGTTTAGAGCAGTTCGCGCTTGTTAACGTACAATCCAGAATCTACTGTAAGAGCACAATGATATCTTGTACATATCTTGATGCAATGTTGTCCAACTCACAAAACTATAATCAAATAAATTATATGGGACTCACGTTTGATAGGTTTCATATGTCGGTCTTTTGCCCTAAAATGAACAAGGGATAAAAGGTTACAGTTTGGATAAACCATTTCTATTGATCATCAATCACATAGTAAAATATATTCTGAATAGCATATGAATTAATTAATCAACTTTCATAAGTCTTGAATTTTATCATTCATTTAACTAGCGATCATTTATGACATTAGAATCAAACATCTTCTTAACTAGAAACCGTCATTATATCCCTTAATAATACCATTTTTGTAAACTTTAATTACAGTTTGTAAAACTTAGTGGGTCTTTAGTTTAAGAGATATGTTGCTTCTGAATATATATAAGAGGAATCAGCAGACAAATATTTAGTATGTGTGTAGTAAATCGTGAACTTATAAAATTTATTCAGTTTTAAGTTGTTTAGTCTAGGACTGGTTGAAAAATACAAAAGAGAATATCGTGATACTATTCTTCTAGTGTAACTTCATCAGACAAATGGTCCTGTAGGAACATAGCATCATGAAGTTTTAGAAAAACTTGAAGCTTATCATTGATGTACTTTGATTACTAATAAATACCACATCTCATTCACTGTTTAACAGAATCGCGTTTTTAAGTTTTATTACTAGTAAGTCTTCTAATTGAACACTCGAATCTCTTTTGCTAACTCTAGGCTAAACTTACATGACAAATTGAACACGAGAGAAAGGGCGCAAAGTGTGAAAATAAAAATCTTTACTCAAGACTAGTTTATGTACAGAAAATCGAGGGTATTTGTAGTATATGAGGTGGCCTTGAGCTTCTCAAATTTTCTGGAATCATACAAAACATAGTAGCTACATAGGTAATCATTCAATTCATAAATATGATACATGGCTCTTCACTTTTCAGATTTTTCTGAAAAACTTCTATTCAACATTGATCGGATAAAATGTTACCCAACAATTACACTAGTTCTTTTATGTTATGAAATTGAGATGTTGGAAAAAATTTGTAGCTAAGGTGGATGATTTTGGTAGAGTCCCGTTCTCTGAATTTGATGGTATAGTCGAGAAGCTTTCGTTGTTCCTATGAATAACATCATCAGTATAAGCTCCTGGTATTTCTCCACGTATGACTAACAGCCTATCCTGTCGACCTCGAACCCTGACCCTTAACTTGTCATTGCCCGTATCTTTATTTTGATTCTCTCCTTTTGAACTGGTTATTGATCCTATATTTATCAACATTAATTTTCTGATTCGTTGATCAATTAAATCGATTTCGATGTGTGTTACTGATTGTTGATGGACCTGAGTGCCAAGCTTCTGGAAATTTTCTAGTGTTTTTGGCGTTCCTTCTATTCAGGATTTGAGCATTTTTCCAGCTGGATGTGTGTTCACAGTTGTCCACATGCATTGATATAAGTGAAGAAATAACAAATTGTTTCATCGCTAGCTGATGTTTATATGGGTAAAAGTGAAGGGGATGTGCCAATTTATCCGACAAAGTTCACCAATAATCAATCAAGATTGGGTCGACAGGATAGGCAGTTAGTCATACGTGGAGAAATTTGAATAATTCGCTCCTATTTGGAGTTTGTGCTGATAATGTTATTCATAGGAACAATCAAAGCTAAACCGTCCAGTTCAGAGAACGAAACTCCAACAAGTTTTATGAAGTCTTATCGTTACACTTAAGTTAGCAATAATAAACAATTATGTTGTAGAAAGCACGCGTAAATAACCTTGTAAAACTAAAAAAATAGTTTTTACGTACAGTTTATTCTGTTATTTGTTCAATTAATTCTTTCAAAGATTATTAGGTCATGTTGTTTTAACAAAGAATTAGAATCAGCATCACCCATTACAGAATACTGTGTTATCATCCACATAATTATGCACCATCAAGTAAAATGTAAGTGAAAATTATCATATTTAATCATTTTAATAGAAACTTACATCTATAGACATTTTTCTATCTGATGGCTTTCTAGATTTTTTATCCGTTTCAAATTTATTAGCCTCATTTTCTTTGACTTGGAATTTTAACGAAAAGGGTACTAATGGAGGTAGGGTTATTCCAATTATTAAGGCTACAATAAACTGAAGAAAGAATAAACGAGATGTTATGAACTATGTATTTGCTAGCTAAAGTTTCAGAATCAAAGTAATTTTGAATGCCAGTATATACTTATTTATTTCACTTACAACATGAAGTAATTGTAAGTTGGGTTAAAAATAACAATGAAGCCAACAGTTTTGTTAGTTTCACAGACAAAAACTGAGTCTTATCATTTGAAATTAATAATAATCTCCGATTAGTATAGATTCTCAGTTTATTATCGAATAACAATTGAATTAATTGTGATTTAAACTTAAAAATAACTTACAACATAAAAGTGTAGATGTAGTATTCTTGAGCCTATCATGAATGAGTTTCAAGTATTATGCTCCCATGGCTTTGTTTAGTTGCTGGTAAATTACTGATTACACTATGTTATAAATCAGTGTTAACTGTATGTCACATTAAATAAATATAATAGCTGTAGTTTTTCATAAATATGGTGGACCCTAATTTTCAAGTTGTCAATTTAAATTCACGGTCTTTGTTTTGAAGTCAAAAAATATTTCTATGATAATTCTCGAAAATTAAATCAAATTCGCGCTAAATTTGAAGATAAATTATTGGTTTTTGTTCTTTATATACCTCTTTCACATTCGAACATTTAAAGAAGAATGAACCGACGGAAAAAGTTATCGATAATCTTATCAGTAGAGTCTTACACTAATATACACTGGTTTTACAACTGATGGCAAAATAGTCATCAATAAATTGTTCACCACGATGAATAATATTATAAATTATCAACTGGGACATTATGTGAAAAAATCATTTGAATATTATACCGGAAACATTCCTGATCTTGGATCAATCATTCCGTTCCAAACACGTTCAAGATATTGTTCAGAACACTGATGTGAAATGAAACTCATGGATTTGCCTTCTGCAGCTAGCATAAGACATGACATACGTCCAAATAATTTTCTTTCAAGTATAATTGTTTTAAATGACAAACTTTGATTGTCATTATAACATTCAGTTAACAAACTATAAGCTTTTGATTCAAAAGATCTGAAAAAGAAATAAAATATATAGAAAAGTACCATCTACTGGAAGTCAAATTTTATCACATAGGGTCATGAAACCGAGAAGCACTGATAACCGGAGGGGAGATTGGATAGCTGTTTTGTCTTAGTGAGACCTACCTCAGCAGTTAGTATTTATGACCCTTTTCGGGACTCAAAACCCAATAACAAACATAGTGTTCGTGAATTAGAATCCGATGGTTCACATTTTTAACTTTGATTGGTTTGGGATACTATGCAACCGCCATTCATTGATGTTTCAGAAAATGGTCTCGTTTTCCGTAAAATGAAGTTTAAAGTTTGAAGGTTTTCATTTCACATCTCTCTAGTCTACTAGGCTGTGATCACATGGTTTATATTAAACAAATATAAAATAAAACTTTCATCTATCCAGATCAATGCGATATTAGTCTCATTAATTAGTAATCACAAATAGCATTTTATGAAACAAAAAGCATTAGGTATTTGACAATTTGCAGTATAGGCTTGTGGATATTATTAAGTTTTTGATTGAGATCATGAACCAATTGATGTTAAACCACCATTAAAAACCTGGAAGCGCTGGATGGCTATTTTGTCCTAGTATGGGGCCACTCAGCAGTGCTCATTTACGACCCTGCCCCGCGGGATTCGAACCCAGGGTCTTCAGTCTTGCGCGCGAACGCTTAACCTTTAGACTACTGAACCGGCACACAACAGTGTCAATGTCTAATAATTGTTTTGTTGCTAGATACTTTTAATAGTCTACAGTGGTGGAGGGAGTATCTGGAAATATACAGAAAATTATGCTACATATATAATGACGTGGTGCTAGTAAGACTTTTTACACCTTTTGACATAGCATTTTTAAAAATAAATTTATACTATTTGTCATTACCTTCTTTCATTTTATATTATATTTACCTTTATTTTACATTAAACGAATAGAACTGATATTTGAACATGATTAAATGTTGGTCGCGTGAAGAAATTTTTAATGGTTCCTTTTTGATGGAGTTTTGTTCTCTGAGCTGAATGGTTTGGTCATGGAGCTTACATCGTTCTTCTGAGCGACATCATCGGCACAAACTTCAGATAGAAGTGGGGTGTTCGAATTTCTCCATATGCGTTCCACAGCTTGTTCTGTACACCTCAACGTTGACTGGTCTTATTGACTTTAAATTTGTCATTGTTTACTCGTTTGTTTCGGTTGTCTCCCATTGGTTTGAATTTTGTTCCTATATTTGTGCATAATTTCCCTGATTGGTTGATAAATTGGATCGATTTCAATGTGCTTGTTGAAGCCTGGTGCTCAGGTCAATCAGCAATCAACAAGCACATTGAAATCGATCCAATTTATCAACCAATCAGGAAAATTATGCACAAATATAGGAACAAAATTCAAACCAATGGGAGACAACCGAAACAAACGAGTAAACAATGACAAATTTAAAGTCAATAAGACCAGTCAACGTTGAGGTGTACAGAACAAGCTGTGGAACGCATATGGAGAAATTCGAACACCCCACTTCTATCTGAAGTTTGTGCTGATGATGTCGCTCAGAAGAACGATGTAAGCTCCATGACCAAACCATCCAGCTCAGAGAACGAGACTCCATGAAAATCATCCACCTGAGCTACAAATCTTCACCATCTCAATAGTTTTATGTATATATAATAAATTCGACTTTGATAATTTTTTTTCAAGAATTAAGGATAGAGATGTTAGAGGAATATGTTCAGCCTATCTAATTTCATCTTAAGAAATTTCTGCAGATATATTTTCATATCTAACTACGTCTAACTTTTATAAATAAATTAATATATTTGTAATATCCCAATGAGTAGAAAAATGAACTTTTCTGACGTTTCGTGACTCAGTGTAGGCCACTTCTTCAGAGAATAAATAGCCAAATCAAAATTAATCCAAGTTTAAATTGTACAAAGGAGCAATGACAAAGGTCACATTTTTTTCATCCCTGATCTTGCACACATACACACACAAATTTACATACATGAAGCTTATAAACCACGTTGACCGAAATGATACGACACTGACTTGTTCAGATCTGTTTTCGATTGATCGAACATAATATTCTTGCGTTGTTCAGTTTGTACTATATAAACTTGGATTAATTTTGATTTGGTTATTTATTTTCTGGAGAAGCGGCTTACATTGAGTGACGAAACGTCGGAAAATTCAATTTTTCTATTCATTGGGATATTACAAATATATATATTTATAACAACCTACCCAATGCTTAATTTATTCGAAATTATCAAGTCAAATCTTGATAATGATACCTATATCTAACTTTGAAATTTATTGAGATTTATAAACCTTTGTTTTTGTCGTTTTCGCAAAAAGCGTTGAAAACAAAGTAATCATATAGAGAACTATCAAATAACATAATTTCCTAAACTTTATACCCTATTTCTATATTGTCGATTGTCACTTTGTATCACTACACAATTCAAAGTAAATGTGAATAATATGATAAAACAATTAATCGAAACAACCAATCTTATTGTACATTCTGAACATAAATTTCTTAGTTGTATTGGAACTGCTATTGTAGTGAACAGAACACGGCTGGGGACAATCGAATGTATTTAACACAAAATTACAGGACTCGTTAATAAAATCTAACAATCATAAAGTAATTGCTTAATATGCAAAATATCCACCAATTGCCTCAAAATGACTCAGAATTCATTGTTCTTGCACTTTCATAAAAATTTCATCCTGTTTCCATTCTTTACTGTTCGATCCTCTTGTCTCTCTGCTGCCAGACATTCTGTTCACGACTAACACCATATAATATTTATGTCAATATAAGTAACACACACCACACTATGATTAACTTCTTTACGTGCTATTACATTTACTGAAACTGACAGGCATTAGTATATATCAGGTTAAAAAATCCTTTATATTCAGCTGTCGCTTTCATAGTTATATTAATTTACAATAGCTTACAGAATGAAGTGTATTGTGATGGTTGTTAGAATTTACTATATTAACCTGTGGTGTAAGATCATCTTTTTCTTCTGAATAACAGATAAACTACGAACACCAACCATAGTAGTGAAATTAAAATTCGGTGACCTTCAAAAACTATTAATTATACCTTGAAAATTGAAACATTCCTTCTCTAGTCACTAAAGATGTTGCATTCATTGCTAAACGCCGTAATAATAAAGCGGCAAACAATGCTGCTGGAAGTGGATCTTGAACTTGTGTCCAAAAATAATCGGCTAAAGTAGCTCGTTCAGTTAATAAAGCCCAAATAAATAAATCAGTTGCAGGATTCTCAAATATTTGTGCTTTTGGTGCTGAAATTTAAAGTAAAAAAAACTTGAAACATTTAAAGAAAATTTAATAAAATATTTAGCATTCTTACTACTAGTTTCCATTTAAGCAATGCAAAATGTCTTTGGCGAATAAAACTTCAATCTAGATATGCGGCCACTGGTTGAGAAAGTATTTAATCTTTAGTCTATAAAGTTGTTTGTTTACTGTAAATAACCAATGATTTATTTAATTCAAATTATGTTTCATACTAGATGGTTAATAACAACCCAGTAAATGGTTTCCCCAGTTGACAATTATGAACATAGTGTTTCTGCAAAGTTGATTTTCATCATGGAGTCTGGAGCAGTACAATCTATGGACTGAGTTAAAAATTACTTTATTGAATGATTTAGTTCACGATTGACCTCGGTGAACGAGATATTAAATCACTAGTTGACTACTTATCAGTGGCTGTTATTATCCTGTTTAGTTTTAAGTATTGACTGGATTTTACCCCTTTGATGTTTGAGTCCCACCAAAAGAATCATTTCTTTCATGATTTCAGGTATGCATTACCGGAGAGTCTCAGCTAACGTGAAATTTAGATTTATATCACTAAGATATTAAGTCTTTTAAGTCTAGTGGCTGAATTGTAACCTGACAGCTGTAAATAACTACATGGTATTGACAACAATTGCGAACTAATCAGTGTAAATTGTGTTTTTTGTGTGAGTATCCATCCATCTATTTGTTCAAATCAGTTTAGGTGATCCAAGTACTCTAGACTTCAGCTTAATCTAGAAAAATACACCACTAGTGAAAAGAATTAAAAACGACTTGATTGCTTTATTTGCTAAATACATTCTATTGTTATAAAGGAAATTTATTTTGTTAGGTGATATCTTCCTAATACAACAATTTAGCAGTCTTTGTAGTGTTGATATTGACTAATATTTCTGATATTTCCCTTTTACTTGAATATATTTTTTAATGTGTCTTTAAACTGATCCTTATTTTCCTAACGGTTAGTTGCAATTTCTAGTTATAAATTACTAAAAAAAAAAAACTGATTGTATTTTTATCGATTTGTTGATCGTCATCATATCGATTTCATTTATAAATGCTCTAGATATTGAATAATATTTTAATTCCTGATAAACAATATTCAAGTACTGATGTTCCTCGATCAAAATAAGTTTATTCTGTACTTAAATACATAAGGAGACAAATGGTATAAATAATCTGTAGAAGGAATTAAGCTGATACATATCATATAAATAAAATATTCACAAAGTATTGTAAACAACTAGATATCTACCAAACAACAGATACTAATATTTCTTACTTACCTCCAGTTGTTATCAAGAAAAAGTGAGGAGCCATATAAGTTGGACAATATTGTCTACCAACAAGTTCACGCAATGCACGACCAATCAAATAAAGACTAATCTGATCTGGAATCTATATAATTTAGAAAACAAATTCTGAGTATATTTATTTGTGTATATAAAGATTTTCTAAATTGTAACCACAAGATTATACTTTTTTGTCAACACTACTTCATGTAAACCTTTTGCCTATATCTTAGATGTGTTTATTAGCTCTTAAGCATCATTTACAAAACAATAATTTTATTAATCATTGTATTTTGTTTTTCTGACTATTAAAGTTGATTATCTATGAAGAGTTTGGTAAAAAAATACTTGAGTCAAGTCCAAATTTAGTCATTTTTTAAAAACTTAGTGAAATGTAAATACGTTTGTAGTTCATATCATTCTGCACCAACCTTTGCTTTTGCTCTCTTTAAGATAATAAAGAGAACTATATGTATAAAGTTTATAGTTCTGTTCAACTGCACTAACAAAATAGATATTTACTACTTCCATTTGATTATTTAATAATTAAATTCATGAATCGATTGAAGCTAGACCGCCATGGGAAAGGTGGAAGCACTGAACGGCTGTTTCGTCCTGGTGTGAGACCCCACAGCAACGCGCATGGAGACAGATATGAGAAAAATGAACAAAAATAGGATAGAACTGGAAAGGAATGCCCAGGACAGAGTGGGTTGGAGAATGCTGGTCGGCGGCCTATGCTCTATTGGGAGTAACAGGCGTAAGTAAGTAAAGTAAGTAAGAAGGATAAACTCTTCTATTAACTGAGAATTCAATCATCACATGGATAACTATTTTTTATAATTATGATATCATTTTATTAGGGAATTCATTTCTAACACCAAAATCCAAAAAGTTGAAAACTAAAAGAAGGATATATCAAGTAGTCTTGGATACTAAGTATACAATAATAATTCAAATTGACTTATTCACAATGAAAGATAATGTAGTCTAAATAAGATAATCTTTAAGGAACTGGTTATTTTAATATACTATACTGACCTTCATCTCTATAAGAAAGTTTCGAATTAAGTAGTCACTGAGTCTTTTAAGTTTAACGTTAATTAGCTTCACTGATCTAGGTAAGTAATACCATACGTCATGTAGTTCACTGTTGTTTGAACTCACTTATTGCTTATTTAAACTATTAGGGATTGTCATTGTTTATGCTAGGCTAATAAATGCCTACAACTCATTTAATTAATCATCACCCTTGAAAATGACAAAGAAATTGTTATTTATACGTATAGTTTCGTGTAGATAGCCTGTTTTTTTGCATTCAAACTAGGTCTGAAGTAATGTTTCAATTATGTTAACACGTTCTCATTTATTTCAGACTTAAGACTGGCAGATTATGCTTCATTTGAATAAGACAGTTAACTATTGTCGATTTACTTTTTATCGAATACTTAGTTGATATTATGAATAGAAAGTTTGTCTTATATACTAACACGATATTATTATATTGAGTAGTCAAACATAAAATACAATATGTCTGTTATGAATGATTGTGAGTAGTATCAAACAATGAATTAACATAAACTGACAAATCATTAGAAATAAATAAATTACTGCTCAACTGTTTAAAATCATTTTCAGATTTTTCAGTGCTCAATATCCTCTAACAAAAATCAACTGGTGATGCAATTTATTTTCAAAGTGATTGCTACATTTCTATAAACTGTAATTCTTTGAAATATTAGAATTTTCGATATTTAGTTATTTAAAGTTAATAAAATGTGATATTTAGTTAGTATATTCATTAAATTGAACACTATTAGTTTGCTTATCATATGACTTCAAGTACTGTTATACATGCAGTAAACACTATGGATTATAATAATAAATGAAAATCTTACCTTAACAAATGCACGAATCACATTAATGAGAGTTTCTCCTGGATGCTAAATAATGTATGACAAAAATAATTATTATCGATACTTCTTCCAATGAAATTGAAAGTTATCAGTATCTTTTTTTAAAGATAATTTAACGTATCGATTATAATAATTATCAAAAGAGCCAACACACTAAAGTGAAATAATATGCAGTTAGCAGAGGATTGTTTGAATCTATTTATTTTATGATCATGTAGTGTCCATTGATATGTTAAGCCCACACAGCCTATTTTAGCTTCTGAACAGGGCGATGTAAACATACTTCGTCCGATCTAATTGACGTCCAAATGAAGGGCCCCACTAGAATCGAATACATACAGTCTTAGTCGTCAAAAATCTTAATCCAAATGTAGTAAGTTATTTAAATGATGAGCTACTTGTTTCAGTGTTCTATGTCAAATTAAATTTCTGTAAAATTATTTATAATAATCTGTTGAACGCTATATCACTCTATTTCGTTCCAATCTATACTTTATTTCGTCATTTTATTTACAATTACTTCCATATTGAAATAAATATAATGAGAAGAGAGAAGGTGAGTGAAAGCAATCAAGATAACAACAAGAATGAACAAACAATAAAGCTTGTAAGAGACAGTTCAAAGATATGCAAATGATGTATTTGATGTATGATTTTCACATTTTACTGAACCACTGTGTGATTATGCATTAAAAAATAAATTAGTCTTCCCCACTCGAATGTTCGTTCACTACAAATATACCCAGATATCAGCAATCCAATGTTAAAACGTATTAAATTTTTATGAACAACCAGTGTAGTTGATACCTATAGTAATTTTTAATAGTTGAATTCATCAGTCGTCTGAAGCTAGACCACCTTGGAAAATCTGAAATCACTGGACGGCCGTTTCGTACAGTGCTTCCGGTTTTTCCAAGGTGTTCTAACTTAAGATGACTCATGAATTCAACTATTAAAAGCTACCACAACCTCCACAAAACTTCTTTCTGATAAAAAATTACTTCTCATGTGTATTTATTCACTTCTAATCCTCTTCCGTCAAACTTTAATTTTTCAAAATGACACTATTTGAGTGCAAATGTTGAGATAGTGTTTCAATCGTTTAACATCATTTCACTTCATCTTTTTCCATAAAACGATACTTAATAACTTTACGACACTTTTGATATATTTGGCTGAGGTAGAAAGATGCCTTAATGAACTCATGTTTTAGTGAAGAATGAGAAATTCTATATGGTTGGGCTTATGGTGAACCTATATTACAGAATGTAACATTATTCAAATTAATTTAAATAAACAAATCATATCCTTGAAACAACTGAATAAAACCATTTGTCCAGATCTTAAACATCCTTATGATTTCATCCATATAACTTTAGTTTTGATATTATACATAAGATAACTCATAATAGAAACTTTCCCGGAACATACTGAGTTAAAATTTTCCTTGATACATTTTCAACTTACATCTGAATGAATAGATTGTGTATAAAGTAACTGAAGTCTTTCCGCAGTTAAATAATTAGATAATAAAAATCCTTTCTCAATAAATACACAAATGAATTGTACTTTGTTTGATAATAATAATGCATTCATATGTTTTACTAATTTAGAATTCTAGAATATAAAAAAATAGATAAATAATTATTTCATATCTTTTATGTAAATGTCATTTGAAGTTTATATTAAAAAAAGAATTGGAAGTAAACTGAAGTAAATCACCAATATGAATAAACATTTAAATTCGGTACCGAATTTACTTTACATTAGATGATTGTGTTTTAGTTCATAGAAGTTATCTTAAATACATAGTATTTGGTTGTAGACAAAAAATCAATACATGTATGAAACACTGAAACTTTTTCAAAATGTTGCCAAATGAGATTTTCTATATTTAGATGTATAATAATTTTATTAGTTGAATTCATAAGTCAATTGAAGCTAGACCATTATGAAAAACCTGGAAACACTGGACAACCGTTTCGTCATAGTGTGGGAGATTCCTTAGCAGTGCATATCCACGACCCCGCATCACGAGATTCGAACCCTATCAGTCTTGCGCGCGAGCGTTTAACCTCTACCTTCAATTGACTCATGAATTCAACTATTAAAATGACTATAATATCCTCAAAACTCCTCTCTGTGTAACAATTGTTTGCTCAACAATAGATAAGATACTTTTAAGAATCTAGAGAAAACTATAACTAACATTTATCTGTAGAACAGTGTAACTATATAATGAATTTTCGACTAATTAAACATCTAATGTTTCTACTACCGAACGAAATAATGATTTGTTTTTCATCTAGTTAATTATGTATGATAGTTTCCCATTCATAATTATTTGTTTATCTTTTACAAAATACATATAATTGATATTTATGATTTAACATATAAAGACAATAAGTTTGTGTTGTGATATTCAGAAAAAATATCCTAAAAATTATCCTGTTAAGTCTAATGCTATCCTTGGACTTGAAATGGTATCATTTTCCGATTGTTCAATATTTACTTCACGGGTCGTTTCCCTACTGGTCAATATTTATTTAATGTGTCATTTTCCTGTTGGCCAAATATTGTACAGATGTTATTTTCTATTTTATGGTACGATGTAGTCTGGTTGATTGATATATGTTTGAAATGCATGATTCATATCGCAGAGGCTGAGACTTGTGTTCTGGACTCAACTGGCTGGGCTAGGCGGGAAGCAGGGTCAATCAGATTCTAGACTGCTCGCACGTGTTTACGCGTCATTGTTCCGATCGATAAGTCACTGCTCTCTAATCGGCGGTCACAAGTTATAACAGTTTGCATTCAAATTAGTGTGTCACTAATTAAAATGGTATATGTGTGTATATTCTGTTGTGCTTTGAGTTAATTTAGAAATAGGAATAACTTAAACGAATGAGTTTTGTTTCTGTATTGAGTTTTAATAATGAAAAATGAGCCTAATTAACGATTTTCTATTGGCTAGACGATGACATAATCATCTTAGTAACTGAATGTCATATCTTTGGTCTACTTTGAATGAAAAGTTTCAAAAAAGAACGCGAAAGTAATCTAATAATGTTTTGTTGTCGATTTCAACCTGATCAGTCCCTCTCAGATCATCTAAATGAATAGTAACTAAATTGATTTTGAGTATTCACTTGTTAAATAATTATAAGTGATTGTCGTTGCAAAGAGTAAGTACATTACAGAAAGTTCAGAGTTTTGATACCTAACATTTGCTGTAAAGATAAACAAAAATAAGGCTTTCAGGTAAAACATGTAGCTAATGCAATGATACTTGAGAGAAAAATTAAATCAATCTATTATAGTGAAATAATATTGCCATTATGAACATTATTTAACACAAGTAATAAAACTGTAGTTGTCTTGTCACACAAAAGTTAAACATATTGGTAATAAACCTACGATATAAAGCCAATAACTTGTGAGATTAAAAGATATTATCCAAAATTCTTAAACGATATTTTACTTACATCCCACTTCACTCCTTCCATAAATACTTTATCCCTGGCAATATCACTTCGATTTAGAGCAATAGCAATAGAAAGAAGGGTTTCGTTAAGTTCATCTGGCTTTTCATTCTCCTTTATGGCTAAAACATAGATAATATTTAATAAAAATTCTCTGAAAAATTTCAAGAATTTTGGACTTCCTGTAGTTTTACATTTCTAGAGTCAATGAATTTTAAACAGCTGATAAATGTTATCTTGGTAAGACAACTCTCTCAAGATGATAGTGGTAATTTTATCAAGACATGAACTGATTACCTACAGTTTTATAGTAAATATATTATCTACTTGGGTACTAAAAGATAATAATCGGTTTTTGCACAGATACTTTACTAAAATACCGTTCCTATCCAGACTTTGTATTCCTAAATTGGTTGTGTTTTATGCGATGTAGATTTAAAGTTAAGTAGATCAAACTAGGGTAAAATCACAGCACTTATCTATCGATAACATTGAACTATTCTTACATTATAATGGACATTTACCGAAATTAAATCTTAACTTATTTTCTAAATTATATCATGATCAAATGTACAGTTGTGACCATGCAGTAATCCCATCGTGTAGAAAAAACTCCTAATTATTACTTGGTTTAATTAGCTCACCAAGTTACGTCGATTTATAATGAAAACTAGCTTTAAGTGTTATGACTATTCATTAATCTAGTGTTCATAATATCTGTCTAAATGATTTTCTAATCCAGTTTTGATGTCAGTCAGTTAAATTAAATAAAAATTGATTTTCGATAATACTAGATCTAGCACTTTTGTCATTCTAAAGGAATTAAAAATTAGTTGATGAATTATGGACAGTGTCATTTGTTTTTCATGTTACTCCATTTATAAGTAAATTATAGATTAACATTAACATCCAACAAATCACCACCCAAAAATATATCTTATAAAACCTGGTATGACTATAAGCTGTTTAATAATCAGATCATTTACTAATCTATATGTAATAAGCATAACAAACTAACATCGCAAACTTAGTAAAATCTCTGCGAAACAAATCATTCACCCATTCACTATATGACATGAAGATGTAAATCTATAAATCCTCCGTAGAAATCTATTGGCTACTTTATACAGAGTGAAAATACGTTTTCATTCAACAATTATCGGCAGTTATTATTGCTAGTCATAGGCGTTGGTATTTTACACTTATTCTTTTTTATGATTAAATATATTTCAATCTCCATTAAGATACTGGTGTCCTTGATATTACTTGCATTCCCAAGTTGATTTATTTTGAGTTACTGGTTAACAGTAGATTATTTAAGTTTTGAGTATCATCTACGTATTAATTCACATCACTATGACTGACATTGACTATTTTAATCGTTGGAAAAATGGTGGCTTTGATGATTGAATAATTTGAGTGAAAACTCTCCAACATTTAAATATGTGAGTACCAAATTCGAGGAATGCATGAGAAAATACCCATATGCATGAAGGGGGATCCAGATGATGAGTTGATAATAGGGTAAAACGTATATTCAACTTATGTAGTTACGCGCAATATAAGAAATATTTGTCTGTTAATTTTTGAGAAATACTTAGGGATAAAAAGATGAGTTATTATTACAACTCCCGAAATATTCATATATAATAATCTGTATCCAGTTGAAATATTCATATGGCTTATAATTTAAATTATTTATGAAATGTTTAACATAAATTAAAGAAGAAACTCACAAGGATTCATTATTAAAGATAAAAGATGATAATCTAATTCACCATGTTCATCTTCACCTTCTGCTTCACAAATACTAAATAAATATGTTTTCTCTAAAATTTCTTGAATCATTAATACAGATAATTCTGGATGTGTAATATGATCCCAATAATATTCCATAGTCTGTTTAATACTACAATGACAAATACATATTGAAATGAAATGCAATTTTATTGGGAGAAATATTGATACACTTAGAAAGTTTTAATGAGAACTAAATGACTTGTGATAATTTTGTGAGAAATATTGTTAATTAGTCTAAAAAATCATTAGAATAAATCACTATTGAGTGAAACTATAATTTATGCATGAACTTTGAGCAACTCTAAAAAGATCTTGAAAATGTCCACCTACATACTACGGTTAAATGTGGGTTATAAATCAGCTTTAGGAATTAGAATTAATATTTACAGTTGATATTTAAGGCTAGGGATTAGATTCAGGGTTTTCATCACAAACCGACATCAGCTATAATGCCAAAACTCTATTCAATCAAGTGAATGAACTAATTTCGCTTCAAAATTCCAGACCTGATATGATAAATCTGATTGATTCATCCAGAAATTATAGTCCCACATACTGTAGTGAACAGAACGCATGTGGGGACAATCGGATGTATTCCACACAAAATTACAGGACTTGTTAATTAAATCTAACAATCATAAAGTAAATGTTATATATGCAAAATGTCCGCCAATTATCTCAAAATGACTCAGACTTCACTGTCCTTGCATTTTCATACAAATTTCATCCTGTTTCCATTCTTTACTGTTCGATCCTCTTGTCTTTCTGCTGCCAGACCTTTTCACGACTAACATCATATACTACTTATGTCAATATAAGTAGCACACATCACAATACTAATGAATAATAATAATAATGCTCGCTCTATTCAATACCATATGTTTACTCATAGTAAAGAATTATCAGCATAAAATATTTATCATATTGCATCAATATTCATGTTTTGTATTCATGTAAAAAAGTCTACGTATAAAATTTTTTTTTAACAAAGATTAGTTTTAGTTTTATATTCGGCGGTTAAACTTGATCCCTTGACAACCCTTTTTATAACCGAATATATATTCAATGTATGAATTTTATATCAATTGCGTTTCATCTCTCCAAAAAAAACTGAACAAGAGAAAAAAAGTATATTAATCACCATAATGGTATTTCATGAATATTTTATTAAGTAGATATGCGATTGGTTGTAAAAATTGTATAAAGACACGTAGGTACATAAACTTAGTCGTTATAGGTAGTTTTAAAAAATCTAAAACAGGAAAATTTATGGCAATAAATGCCCATTGGCAACAATAGTGACCTAGAAGTTTCAGTAAGTCTCGGGAAAATATCAAACTTCTGTTCGGGGGTCTTAGTCAAGTGTTTATAAACAATAAACACATACTTTTATGAAAACTTTTCTTTGGATTATACTTCAAGTTTATTAATATAGTGTTGACAGCGAAATTCATCATACTACTTATTAAATAAATATAAATTTTCTGATAATTATAGCACAAACAGATTGATTCAAAACATTGGAAGACATTATATTCAGATAAATCGGGTGATTTACAAAGATTTTGTTGTGTTTGAAGATTTTTATCAACACTTAACGGCCTTGACTAGGAAACTATCAAAAATATGTGAATTGTGGATCTCTATTGAATACTATTTTATAGGTCTTATATTCGTTACACAATCTAAAGGTAATGAATCTAACATCATTATATAATCATAAATGAACATTTTTATTTAATTTCAGTACAAAGACTTCTTTGTTGGTATTGACTGGTGTTAATTTGTGGTAAAACCTCGTTAAACAGTAAAATACCTGTCTAATTATGATAGTGCTTTTCAGTAGCATGTACATTAATAAACTCTTAATACTATGTTTATTGTGCTTCAAGAGAGAAGCGAGTTTATAAAAGGAAGAGAACATTATCTATCTACACGTTCTCCTGAATCATCCTACATTTTCTATCATACTAAATATTGTTTTAAAGATGGGGATTTGTGGAAATAATAGTAATTTTAATAATTGAATACATGAGTCAATCTAAGCTAGATCACCATTCAAAACCTCGAAATATTGAACGGCTGTTTCGTATTAGTATGGGACTATTCAGTAATGCGCACCTACGACACCAAACGCGACACTCGTTCCCGGGATCTCCTGTCTTACGCGTGAACGCTTAACCTCTAGACCATTGAGCCGGCATTCAACGGTGTTAATGTCTAACTTCAATCCATCCATGATCTTGCGCAACCCTTCATTCATTGTATAAGGTAAATACCTGTCTCTACCCGACACGGATTACACTCCATTGGTCACGATCTCTCACTATAATCCCAGGAAATACATTTTAAAACCAGTCACTAGTGAACAAATGATTATTATCAGAATGGAGATTTGTGGAGATTGTAGTAATTTTAACAGTTAAATCCATGAGTTAATCTAAATTAGATAACCATTGTAAACCTAAATGTCATTTATTGATTGTTCACTAGACTAAAACATACATTTTGTATTTAAGTGAACTAAAAAATGTTACAGGTTAATTTTGCTAGGTATGTTTTACCTTGCAAATATATTTTTTAAGAACCTTTAGTTCATTTATCAAAAACTCAAATATAACTAATACAGGACAAACCACAAAATGTTGTTTAAACATGACAATTGTAATGTTTTATAATTTTTAAGTTTTGCTATTGATACAACCGATAGATATAACTAATCACTGTTTATGGATTATTTGCTTGGTTATCACAGTGACATTGATAATCTTATTAGTAGAAAGTGAAATTTTCAAATATTGACTTTTTTTCTTTCATTATTCAAACTAAATTTGGCTGTTACAAGATTAAGACACAGTTACACAGTAGGATATCATGAAAACAGTGTTCTAGTCGCAGTTATCCTTATGAAACTTGAGACTCATGACAATACATTAAAAAACTAGTAATCGAATGTATTGATGATTAACTACTCTTAATAACTTGAATCAGAAAATGTGAATTAAGAAATATAAATATATGAAGATTTCTTTGGAATAAAATAGGTAATTGAAATTTATTATATTACTATGTGATATAACTTGCTTATGTCTCAAGGTTGATTTCATTCATAGCATAACAACTCTCTTTTAAAGTTTTTCTTTAATGACAGTTAGTAACTTAAAAAAACAGACTAGTTTGATGAAATGAAATTTCAAATTACATCTTATTTCTTATGTGTAATGAATTCTTTTGAAAATGAAAACATACTTTCCAGGTGATAATTGAAATGTTTCCGTTCCAGTTGACCCTTCACTGATTGATTTTTTATATGTAGCTTTAGACCCAAGTTCAGTGTCTTCAATACACTGAGTTATAATATCTGCTAACCTGCCTGTTTCCTGTGGAAATAAAACAGTTAAAAAAATATATAATGACTAACAAACCATAAATGTACATTTAAAAATTCATAATCTTAGAAGTACTTTTTAGTGAAGTCTTTTAACCGTATAGGAAACCAGAACTATACAAAAAGTCTAAGTTCTTACAAATTCACCAGAAAATATTACCATCAATATTTATTCATTAAAATGAATAGTTTATAAAAAAATATTTGGTTTAGATATAGTTTACTTCTTAACATCATTCACTCACTTTGAGAAGTACAACAGGAATCGTATTTTGCATTGTTCCATATATTGCTTTAAGTGTTGATTCATCTCCACCGGAAAGAAATGCACATAATTGGATTGGAGCTATAAAAAAAAGAGATTGAATATAATAAAGTAATAGAGTATAAGTGTTTTCATATTATTGATATGATAGGCTGAAATGAATGAATCCATCAATATTAAATCGGTTAGCTTAATACTTAATTTTTTTTGTTTAATCAGCCGGATTCAATTAGGTTAGAGAACAAAAACTATAATGTCATGAAGTACTCAGAAGTTGGTTAGTATATAAATCAGTTTTAAAAATAAGTTAATGAATGAAAACTTCAATGGTTTGATCTTTAGTTGAAATATAGATTGCTGAAGGTTTATGGCCTACAAAACTATTGAATCTCTTCAATATGAATGATAAGCCTTGATGATATGTACTATCCAACGTTCAGCCTAGGTCCAAAACTAATTAGTGGTTACGTCCAACTGTATAACAAGAATAAACTAAATTAGAAAATTTGATAATAAAATGCTCTTGAAATCATAAGTTTCAATTAGTTACTTGTAGTGTGAATCTGTCGAATATGATCTAGTTGAAGAAAAAAGATGAAAAAGTATCTTTTGGCATTCTAATAGCTCTGTCAGTCCGTATTTATAATCGGTCGAATTTATATCATTCTAACTCAAACTACAACTATTTGGTAACAATTCCAATTAACTACATTCTTATGTAACCCCTGAAAATTATTCAACTTATTGATCTGTGTCACAATTGTACTTTGTTTCCATTGATAATATGAAAAGTAGGGAAAATTCATTGATTACACTGGCGAACTAGCCGACCAACCCAATCTGCTTTACAATGACTTTTTCAATTCATTTCATTAAGTGTTAAACCGATAGACATTTTACTTAACTAAATTAGATTTGTAAAATAATAAATCAATTTAGATCTGATTGTTTTCAAGTCGTTTGATTGAAATTTACTTCCTCCTAGAAAATCGTTAGTACAGAAAGCAATTTTTTAATCGTCGAACTATCAGATCAATGGTCAAAAGCACTAAAATCTTTATCAATTATACATTTTTCTTAGATTTATGGTAAAATATAGTGAAAACAGCCCACACTTTTTTTAATTATATACATATAGTATGGTAAACAGTATAGACGGAATAATTTACTGGAAATTAACTTCATTTTTTTGTTTGTACAAAACAAAAATAAAAAGTTACCTTCTGCCAAGATTTGTGGTGAATCATCTGGAATTAACTTCCACTTTTTGAGGATTAATTCTATTGAAGCTCTAAAGTTATATTCATAATGGGGTATAAGTTGTTTGGCTGTATCTACAAAAATGTATTGAGTGAGATTCGGATCCAAAACAAAATGTTTGTTGTCATCTGCTGCAGTCGAAGAGAATATTACTGAGGAAAATCCCTATGAAAAAAATACAGATATCGAAATTTTACACAATTACTACTTTAATATGATTCAGTAGTATGATTAGTGCATTTGAAATTTGCCAAATATTGTGTCACCAAAAAATATGTTTGGAACAGAACAAACGTTGATCTGATATGAAGTCATCTGCTTTCATCTATTAACTTTACTGCGGGTACTTTCTGTCATGAGGTTCCATTTAGAAATCTGTTGGTGTTTTTCAAACCATGTCAATAACATTTTGGTCCATATTTATCTATTGTTTGAATCTTCTCATAGATGTTTAGGACTGCAATTAATCAGTCTCTTTTAACATATGTACATCCTGCTGGATCGCTTTAGTACTGCCAGTAAGTTACAAGCATTTAAGCAAATATGGGTGGTGTCTGGCAGTGGAATCCAGGACGCCTGTTTAATTCTGTTTGGGAAGAAACACGCGACTTGGATCCCACTACCGACCACCATCTATCTATGTCACTGACTGTTCATACTAAATCTTATTTAATATGATTATTCTCCAACTTAAATTAAGATATTATGATGGAAAGACAATGTCAATCCAAACGGCTTGATGTATTTCCATGGTACATTTTAAACATTAGAGTAACATACTTATTCAAGCACTTTACATTAATTTACTGAAAGCTAAAGCGAATAAAAGTAATATTACGAAATACTAGAGATATACGAAAATGGAGTGATATGAACGAACAACAGGTTTTGATACCAGCCTTATAATTAAAAATGAATTTATAATTACCAGAATGGATTAAAAGTAAAAACGATTGATTTTGAGCGCATAGATATGTCGTAGGCCATGTGACGGTGAGTTCTTTCAAGAAATTAGCAATAACGTCTTGTCATTTCTCATATGACAATTTTGAAGTTACTTAAAAATTGTTCCTAAAATCCCCTGTGAATGTATACTTTGTAACAACTTGGCGCGGATTTCAACTCCTTATTCGAGGCCATGATTTCAAATGAAATCTTTTACTCATTTTACTGTTGCCATGTTTCAAAATAGTAAAGGTTGCGATTATCTGTTCTAAGAAATGCCACCATTCTGTCCAATATTCCTTTCCATTTTAGCTGTTTTTGTGTCAGAACATGCATTATCACCAAACTGCTTCATGTATACATTTGACATTTCCACTGTTAATTGTTTTTAGTCTGAACCCAATAAAAACTAGAACCACTATTTGTATTCTTCAATAGAACAACAATATTCCAATTGTATATTTAACTTACGGAATAATCGTCAGGTATAAATATTTTGTTGTCTGATATAAATTTCCAAGGTACTATTCCAATAGCTTCAACTTGACCTTCTCCATAAGCTTGAATAAAATCTTTTACGGCACCACTAGCTATTCCTGATATACCACGTTTGGTTCCATCAGTGATAACCCATGTTTCTGAATAGAATTTGAATGAACATTTGAATACGTTTTTATTTTCCATAGAACACTTAAAATTATTTTTCAGGATGAATGTATACCTGAATAGCAAGGATTAATCTCAACATTGCTTTAATATAGGCTATTTGGCTTCATCGTTTCTCATAGGGAAATCTCACCATCGTAGGAATTACTTACATTAAAATATTAAAATATGTCAATCGTACTTATTGATCTAGGATGATTCGAAACTATAAATTTTTCAGAACCACCAGCTATTGCTGACTGTATTGATACTTATCACTTATAAAAACGTCAAAATTGGGAAACTCGTTTATAAAAATCCGAAATATCACTATTTATATTAGGTTGAACAGATGTTGTATTCAGATCACAAGTGACAACAAATGTGTTATGAACTCGAAGAAAAATTTCGAGTTATCTTATTCGCTGATGCAGTTTTTGAACTTCCCACTAAGTGAGGTGGTAACTGGGGGTGTATCTTACAACTGTGTGACTGGTCAGCTACAAAGATTTAATTAGTACCAAGAAATGGAATTAAAATTACAATGCATGTCTTCATATATAATCAGTAAGTTATCTTGAAGATAATTGATGCAAATTAGACTGACCGATTGCAGAATATGTACATTTATTTGCAATTTCGGTTCTGAAGTTAAAATTGGAACATAAATTCAGTTGCGTCAACCTAAGTCATCTGCTAAAATATGCTTATGGTTCAGTATTTCTTGACGTACAATTCAGTTGACAAAATAATTAGAGGAACATTCATGGAGCACATACTTCCACAACAAGTTATCAAAATAACCATATACTAAACATGTGATATATTACACAAAAGTATTTCAATAATTAGTGATTGAAGGCTTTGAAGTTTGGAATAGTAACATTTCTGGTTAAGACGTAGTGCTAGAGAAAAATTGATTGTGGAGGAAAAGAATTATTAAGATATAAACTTATATATCCCAAAACTGTTTACAAACGGTAAACTTTCGTTATGAATGTAGAAAAGTTAGTATTCCTGACCGGAATTTCTGCCTAAAATAGTGAATTTTCAGGTAAATTACGGTTTTAATGTTATTTCTTAACGTTAATTCCTAATTTGTGTTTTCCTTTAGTCATTCATGTAAATAAAAAAGTAATGTTTCAAAAGAAATTAATCAAACATACAGAAAACTGACGTAACATTTGATATTAGGAAAGTCAGTAATGAAGCTGACGCTAATAAATGACATCCGATGATGAACATACTATACTGAATATTCCCTGAATTTTTTATGGTAAACTACGAACTGCACAGCATCATATTTACATTAAGACCTGAGGTTTTGTATTCTCATTCGAAGAAAATTCAATCTGTTTTATGAGACATGTCTTTTGTTCAATAGATTGATCAGTCTGTCACCTGATATCAGTTCATTGGAAAACTCTGGACAATATTATCATAATTTAACTTGGTTTCCACAATGTCAGTTATTAAATATCTTTATAAGAGTCATATTTCTAAGTTAAGTAAATGAAACCAAACCATTATACTTTAATGGTTTACTATGGAAACATTATATGGATATAATATGATCCTATATACGGAGTTTATTTTGAGATTCTACAAAATAGCTATTCTTTTAAGATAGGTTGAAGTTGATGAACACCAATGAAATAAACTGAATCTCCTTTTTCTTCTTTGATTTTTTCTGTTCACATTCGATTAGTGATGTGAATAAAATGAAATAAGCTTTAAGTTATCTACGACATGTTTATTATTCACTGGATTTCATTTTTATTTTGCTTTAAAAGAAAAGTAACGTAGTAAGCTGAATATCCTTAGAAAGAATATTTTAAATACAATCATTTCATTTCTTACTTGTGGATTCACTAGCTTTCCAAATTAATCGTCGTATTTTTTCACGAATAACTTTAGAATCAGTATAATCTCCATAGAAGCTCAATACTAATTGCGGACGTGATAAATTCCAAATCTTAGTAAAAATTTGCATCATAAGTTCTGGATTTGTTTGGTCGGAAACTCGGATGAACTATTTACGGAAAATATTTTTAAAAAATAATGAAATAGATGAATTTAGTTAAATATTCAACAGATTTTATTAATTCTCAATAATTTGTTCAATATGATTATTCGAATAAATCATGTTTAAGATCATGAACCGATTGATGTTAGACCATCGTTGGAAACCTGGTAGCACTGGACGGCCGTTTCGTCCTATCTCGGGACTCCTTAGAAGTGTGCATTCACGATCCCGCCTCGCGGGATTCGGTCTCAGGGCCTTCAGCCTTGCGCGCGAACGCTTGACCTATTGGGCCACTGAGCCGGCATCCGTTGGTGTTAGTGTCTAACATCAACCAATCTACGAAATCGCGCACTGCTGAGGAGTCTTAAAATAGGACGAAACGGCTGTCCAGTGCTTCAAGGTTTCCAACGGTGGTCTAACATCTATCGGTTCATGATCTCAATCAAAAACTTAATAAACTCCACAACCCCTATACTGATAAATCTTGTTTACATGAGTATAACAGTTGAATTACCGAAATCATTATTTCTTATTCTTTGAGAGAAGTATTTCAATAATCAATAAATAAGATTTTAATAAATGTTATATGAAAATAATTAAATTTCAATCGAAAATAATTTCTTTTTTGTATTATAGGCAAAAAGAGGAAAAAATTGAGTTATATCAGCACTGCGATGTGATATGGGTTCCATTTTATTTACGTACTAATTGGATATGAGTATTTTGTTATGATATTTTATTACACACTTCACAAAGCCTTTACATCTCCTTCAATACTTATGACATTGGTCATAATTGATCTCAGTGATTACCCTGTGAAACTGTAGTGAACGAAGACTTATTGGGGATTATCAACATCACATTTAATGCATTATTACAGAGTACTTTAACGAAATATGAAAACCATACGTTAAATACATTCGTAAATCTCTCTTCAGTTTTCCTTCACATGCTCCGTGATTTTTTCAGTTCTGTTCTTATTAAAATTGCTCTCTGTTAACATTCCTGTCCTCTTTAATCCAACCTTCTCAATCATTCACTGACAGACATTCCATTTCTAATTGGTGCTACACGCTACTTATATCAGTCAACATAAGTAGCATCTAAGTAGAAAACTTAAAAATTTAACACAATATTGGAATGAAGCGTAACCTGATGTCTTATCATTCGACGACCAAAAACAAGAGGAACAGATAACTTTGCTTTCTTTTAGCCCATTGCATTTGATATACATCCATCTCAGTGATGAAGAAGGTGAACTTGTAAAATAGTGGAGATAATTTTCTTACAAAGAAAAAGTTGCATCACTAGAATTATCGGGATTTCAATGTTATGTCTAAGAAAATATTTCTTTGGTTGGTAATAGCAATATGAACCATCCATACTTCGAGCTAAACTGGTATTTTATTTGATAAAAATATATGGTGCCATTAAGTAAAACACACGATTTTTATTTGATGACTTCTGGCTTGGACTAACGATAGAAACTAGTGTCTTTTGTAAGCTCAGAGTAGACATAATTTTAAAATATCATAGAATTCTGTATACAGCAAAATATACTTGTCAACACTAAAGAGAGTATGTTAATAGATATAGTTTGTCGCCTTTAATTGGAACTTGTATATCAGAGATCAAACACAGCTACTTAATTTTTAAAGCAATAATGAGGTAACAGGTAACCTTCTAGTTAGCGGTTCTTATGATAATCAGATCACTACTGACTAGTTCCGAAATTTGCGTTTACGATAAGTGAAATTCCACTAACCATTAGTTCTAGAGAAATTATATGAATGCATCTGTGATGGTACGTCAGAAGGATGTATTTAGATTAAAATAACGATTTTTACGTTGTTTGAAAAAAAATTATAAAACTATGTCAAACAGACAATAATAATAAACTTTATACACATAATATCTAATTTTGTAACCGAGAGTTTGGTAGAATATTCTTCATTTAATGTAAATGAAAGATCAGGAACAGTTAACTTTTACCATCAAACTACTGATTTATGTGTCTTATGCATGTTTCGACATTTCTCCGGACTAGGTACAGTATGTTTCCGATCCGACGTTCTACGACATCTGGTTCTATTTTCCTATTACCTTGCTGATTGATACAGAAACGAAAAATTGCTCTCCCTTTCGATCAATTACAGTTGCTGTTTCAGCCACAACAGCAGCGTTATAAGAAGAATCAGTTGGAATTTATAGACAAATTACATACACGGCAGCTGAATCGTCCATGATTTAGAGATGTGACGGGAGTTAATTAACTAATTTCTAAATTGCGTACAGAGCTGGAAAATGATTGGAGAATGTATGAATGTGTCAATGAAAGCCTCTATGTATCCTTGACAAGCAGTAATTTAAGCGAAGCAGTAGCAGTCATTTATGATCCGCCCAGTGATCCAGAAACGTCCCTTTTAGAGACATACTCTGTAGTAGGTTCAAATCCCTTTGTTCCCGAAACACAATGTGCAAACACTGAGTTGTCCAGCTCACAGAACCACGATGTCTTGTTAAATCCACATGAAATTGTTGCAGTAGCCGCCCACGACCAAACACAAAATCAATCAAGCAGCATAATCAACACAGTTGCATCAAATGCAGCTCATCATTCTACCACAACAGCATCCGATCAATCTACTGATCGCGGTTCTCTAGTTCTTTTACCAGATATCACTCATCTTAACGACTCACATGTTCTTGATCAAATTTCGTACAAAAATCAGAAAAATATGTCAGATGTGTCAAATGATGATCAAGAACCTAATGAAATCTCAATAGATGCTGATTATCAATGAAGTTTTCAAGAAGTTTGATGAAAATCTTTCAGAACAATCAAACTGTAATGACCTCACATGAAGCGACGTTGATGCTGAGCATCTAGTCATTTCTAGTGAAGTGTCTATTGAATGCGGGAAATATGATTTAAATAGAGTCGCACAAACTGTAACTTGTGAATATGAGGAGCCAACATGATTTCGTGGGGGAGAAAAAAGTCAGAAAATTTAAAGATGGATCTCAACTTGTGTCTTCAAAAAAATGAAGGGGAGGTGATATGATAGAAAAAGTCAAGATTCGATTGATTTACTCATTATGCGTTTTGTTCGAGATTACTTGCGTTTTCATTCAATGTAATGATTACTCAATGTAGTATATATTTGTTTTGTTTTCTCGTGTGATATGTTATTCTGTATAATATACCATATTCTTGTATTCCATTGACATGAACTATGCTCAGTCTGTGATTTGTTATAACTCATGTATGTGATTTCATCTTAATTATTAATCAAAATGGATGTAAAATCAATATATAAATGAGTGTATTTCTGACTAGGATAGTCGTCGTGCTTTGAGGGTTAATAAATCTTCACTTATACCAGTCTTGTTTCTTTTTCTCTCGCGTCGTGGGAATTGCAGACGTCCCTCATTCCGAGTATAAGTGATAACTGTTTCCGACACAACAATCAGCGACGAACAGATATGACAAGTAGCATCCAAATCACAAGACATATCAGATTGTCTGCACGTTAAGGCTGCGTGAAATCTAAATATTTCGAAAAATCATTATTCTAGTGAAATATTTCTCTTTCGGTAAATCCATCACCATTTTAGCAAAGTCAGTGTTCATCAGGTTTTCATTGTACATACAGAAAAAACCTATCAAGAAGTTACTGCTTTCAAATAGTGAAATGATTTTTAGGTTTATTTCATGTAACTGAATTCGATCTAAAGTTTAGTATTTTTATCAGTCGTTTTAACTCAAAAAGTAATTAAATTACATCATAATTTTACTAAATAATATTGATGATTGATAACCGATGATTATGTTTAAACATATTCCTCCCATGAAGTTTGACACTGTTACTTGCGATCCAGAATAATCAAATATGGATAGTGGCTAGCAGTGAAATCCAGGACACGCATTTCGTTCTATTTGAGACTCGTCAGCTGGATGTACCTGGATCTCAGAGTTGATGTTCACTCTGGGACTCGGTCCCAGTACTGTTTACTTCAAACTCCATCGCGTTATCCACTTAGCTACTGATAGCCACTGGTATGTGCAATAGAGTGAAGTTTTAAATACACTTGATGTTGTTTAATTATATCTTCCTATTGTTATTCAGGACTGTGAATGATCAGCTTAGCAGTATCGATGCAGTCCGCACACAATTCACATATGCCAATAAGAGTCTGATCAATTGTATTACTAAACATCAATGGAAAGACTCAAGTAAACAACATCAAGTGGATCCAAAATAGTCTTTAAAGATGTTGACTTAACTGTTCAATGAATATAGATATTTTTAGCCATTCATTGAAATGTCACCGACTAATCAGAAACATCAAATTAAAACAATAAATTCATCAAAGTTTACAATGATCAAAAACCTTTTTATGGATTATTTATACAAATAAGTAAAGTAAAATAAATTCTTCTTACATTTGGAGAATATGCGCCAGTAGGTAATTCAATATCACCGAATGTTTTTGTTGGTAAATCATAATATTTCATTTTACCAGTTTTTAATGCTTTAAAAAATTGAGGATTTTTTGTCATTTCATGATGTTCAGTTAATGGTGTATTACATAAACATAATTCAGGATAACTATTAAATAAAGTAAATAATAATAATTAGAAAATATTAAATATTACACTGGTTTACTTTCTTTTAATGAATCAACTATGATAAACAAAATATGAATATTAATTAACGCTAACTAGTGATCAGTAAACATAATTAGAATATTTTTCAAGAAGATTATAGAGTGATTAAATTTTTAGAGTGTAACAGAGTATTTATGTGTAACTCCCTAAACTACCTTGATTCTTTTAAGTTCTCCTTATGTATACAAGTGTAGATTCATATACTTATGAATGAGAAACGGTTTACTTGTGCCTTTATTTAAATTTCAGTAGTAAGTGTAATAGTAATAGTAGTGTATTAAAGCAGGTATAGGCTTTAAATAGTGTTTTGACGTTCTCAAAATTGACATACCATGGAATCATTTTTTTAAAGTAATGTTCCGATTAGAGCTGAGGTTCAGGTATGAGCTAATAATATCGATTTAATACTTCAAAAATAAGTAAACTGAGAAACTTGTAAAGTGAAAATTCGTAGAGAAGACAAAACCAAAATTAGTGTGATTTTACGGAATTATTGACTACTGTTGTGAAATGCTGTAACAAGTTTTACGTTGCCAAACAGACTTCTTTATTCAAATTAAACAAAAATGTTTGTACGGGAATAGGACTTTATATCATCCTATACTATTTGATCCGGTAAGGCGTATTTTTAACTCAAGGAAATCCCTAAGCAGACAAACCATGACGGTTCTGTTTTAAAGGTGATTTATTTTTACCCCTTCTCAATTCATCACAAAAATGTTTTTAGGTCACACAATGTGTTGCTGTGTCATGTACTGCTTTACTTGCATTACTTTATATAAAACTATAACCCATCATCAACTGATTCAAAGGTTAAATTAATATTCGCTGCCTTGGAACATTTGCAGAAGTAAACATTATCGTACTTTACATTAGTAGGTAGTCTAAAATATTTTATTACGAAGCAAACAGTATTCAAGTGAGCAAAGGAATTCAGTAACATGGACATGCAACTAAAGAAACCTGGATACTAGTCTACGATTGGATGTGAACTAATCAGTTTTCTTCTCGTCTGTAAAGCTGATGCAATTTAGTCGATCAATAGGAAAACGTGTAAAACAACAAAGTTATTTGATCACTTCAGTTTAACATCAGCTGAAGAGAACTTTTGATTTTTATTTCAACCTTAATATGTTTCATTAATATACTTTCTGCTTATGCTTTAATAAATCAAAATATTTCATGATTATGTGAAAATACTTTATTTGAATTTACACCCACAGGCTTTTTTATTTTGATCATTATTAAATAAATCTATAGATGCCTATGTGACGTCTGTTTCAACATTAGTAATCAGACGTTAGAATAGTCTATCGTTGTTTACATATTAATAAATTGGCAGTGACGCCAGTTAGAATTTGAAACAACACAAAGACATATGTGTATTTAACAGGTTTTGATAAACTCACGAAGGATTTTTTGACGGATTTACACAAACAGGGGTCTTGATATTCAACGGAATCCATGTCAATGATAAGTTCTTCTGGGGAACAGTTAAAAAGAAAGGAAAAAATACATATCTTTTTAATGTACACGGTCATATACAACTACTTATGAATCATTCTAAATTTATTACTAACCACAATTGTTTAGCGTTAGATGGAATAGTTTAAATATTTCCAATCAAAAAGGATAACGTAATTACTGTTCTTATACAAGGATTTAAGAATACAGATAATATAATTTGTTTTATTAAACGCTAATTCAACTGAACTCAAGTATAATGAAAAGGGTCATGTAATTTGTTAAAGATTTTCGTATAGTTACAACTAGTCAGTAACGATTTTTTTTAAATCAAAGAATAATTATAATCCGAATACTTCAAGTTTGCTTTTATCTTTTCATTGACATGTATGTGAATGATTCCGTGATTTGTCTTTTATACTTACAACGATTATCTATAATCGAAAACAAAGAATATTTCAGCAAATAATTGTTTTTAGTAACTTCGTCATTAAATTCTACAATTATAAGTCCACAATAAATTTTATTAATGTTAAAATAAGGCATGCTAGGGAATTGAACTTGTTGAACATAGTGACCTTTTACATCAGTTATGGTATAAATTGTTAAGGTCACTTACGAAAGGTCAAAATGATTTTACTTGGTATTGTTTACTTGAATCTTCCCATTGATGTTTAGGACTACAATTGATCAGTTTCTTATTGGCATATGTGAATCCTGTGCGGATTGCATCGATATTGCCGTAATTCACAAGAATTATAAGCAAAGGTGGATAGTGGCTAGCAGTGGACGAAATAGGATGAAACGCGCTTCCTGGATTCCACTGCTAGCCACTATCCATCTTTGTCAAAATGGTTTGTTGTAGTGCATCAAGTTATAAACAATATAGTAATAATAAAATGAATCGTGTGAATAAAATGCATAGTAGAAGAATTTTGTCTCATTACTTACTAACTTACGCCTGTTACTCCTCTGGAAGGAGCATAGGCCGCTCACCAGCATTCTCCATCCAACCCTGTCCCAAGCAATCCTTTCCAGCTCCTTCCAGTTGTAATCCATCCTTTTCATATCTGTTTCTATTTTCAGACGTAATGTGTTCTTTGGCCTTCCTCTTTTCCGCTTCCCTTCAGGATTCAAAGTTAGGGCTTGCTTCGTGATGCAGTTTGATAATTTGCGTAATGTATGTCCTATCCATTTCCATCGACGTTTCCTAATTTCCTATTCAGCTGGAATCTGGTTTGTTCTCTCCCACAGAAGGCTGTTGCCGATGGTATACGACCAATGGATGTTGAGTATGTTGCGTAGACAACTATTGATAAATACTTGTACCTTCTTGATGGTGGTTGTTGTAGTTCTCGAAGATTCAGCTCCGTATAGTAGAACTGACTGTGTTGACGTTCGTATTGAAGATTGTGACTTTGATATAGGTTGACAGTAGTTTTGAGTTGCATATGTTCTTCAATTGTGGGAATGCGATCCTTGCTTCGCCAATCCTCACATTTACGTCTGCATCTGAACCTCCTTGTTTATCGATTATGCTTCGCAGGTATGTGAAGGATTCTACATCTTCCATAGTTTCGCCATCAAGAGTTATTGGATTGTTGTTTTCCGTGTTGTATTTGAGGATCTTGGTTTTCCCTTGTGTATGCTGAGGCCTACTGATGCAGAGACTGCTGCTACACTGGCTGTCTTCATCTGCATCTGTTCGTGTGTACGTGATAGGAGGGCTAGGTCATCTGCGAAGTCCGAATCGTCTAATTGATTCTGAGCTGTTCATTGTATTCCGTGTTTTCCTTCAGATGTTGAGGTCTTCATAATCCAGTCGACCACCAGAAGAAAGAGGAAGGGAGAGAGTAAACAGCCTTGTCTGACTCCGGTCCTTACTTGGAATGCATCTGTCAGCTGTCCTCCATGCACTGCTTTGCACTGTAGTCCGTCGTATGAGTTCCGGATAATATTGACAATCTTCTCAGGAACTCCGTAGTGTCGAAGAAGTTTCCATAATGTCCTCCTATCCACACTGTCGAATGCCTTTTCATAATCAATGAAATTGATGTATAGTGATGAGTTCCACTCAACTGATTGTTCGACGATGATCCGTAGTGTTGCAATTTGGTCTGTTCCTGATCGATCCTTACGGAATCCAGCTTGTTGATCTCGAAGTTGGACGTCTACTGCATCTTTCATTCGGTTCAGCAACACTCTGTTGAAGACCTTCCCTGGTATTGACAGTAGTGTAATGCCTCTGTAGTTCTCACATTTGCTCAGATTTCCTTTCTTTGGAATCTTGACGAGGTGTCCTTCTTTCCAGTCCATCGGCACTTGTTCCTCCTCCCAAATCTTTTTGAATAGAAGGTAAAGCATGTTTGTAGTTACTTCGATGTCTGACTTCACTGCTTCAGCTGGTATGTTGTCGGGTCCTGCTGCTTTCCCGTTCTTGATTTGTCTGACGGCTATTCTGACTTCTTCCTTCGTTGGTGGGTTGACGTCTATGGAAATATCTGTGTGTGCTGCTTCGATTTCCGGTGGATTCATTGGAGCCGGCCTATTCAGGAGTTCCTCGAAGTATTCTACCCATCAGTTCCGCTGTTCTTGAATTTCAGTGATTGGCCTGCCTTCTTTGTCCTTGACCGGTCTCTCTGGTTTACTGTATTTCCTTGCTAGTTTCTTCGTTGTATCGTAAAGTTGTTTCATATTTCCTTCTCTAGCAGCCTTTTCCGCCGTCGTTGCTAATTCTTCCACGTACTTCTTCTTGTCGGTTCTAATGCTCCTCTTCACTTGCTTGTTTGCTTCTATGTACTCAGCTTGTGCTTGGACTTTCTCTGCTCGTGTTCGGCTGTTGTTAATTGCTGCCTTCTTGTTCTTCCTTTCTTTGATCTTGTCCAGAGGTTCTATAGAGATCCACTCTTTATGATGGTGTTTATTTAGGCCCAGAACCTCTTGACACGTTGAAGTTAATGCTTCTTTGATGTCTTTCCAGTTGTCTTCCATAGTAGTTTCTTCTTCCTTCAGTAGATCTTGTAAGGCTTCCAACCTGTTGTTGAGAGCTATTTTGACTTGGTTGATTTTGCTAGCATCTCGAAGGGAGGCTGTATTGAACCTTTGTAATGCTGTTTCTCCAGTTGTCCAGTAATTCTTTAGTTCCAGTTTCATCTTGGCGACAACCAGGTGGTGACCTGAAGCTATGTCAGCACCTATCCTGGTTCTCAGATCTTTTATTGTCGTTCTGAATTTGTAATTGATGCAAATATGATCTATCTGGTTCTCTGTGGTGTGGTCCGGTGAGATTCATGTAGCTTTGTGTATACGTTTGTGTGGAAATATTGTGGCGCCTATAACCAATTTGTTGAATGCACACAGAATTGCAAATCTTTCCTCATTTTTGTTTCTCTCTCCCAGTCCACGTCGTCCCATGATATATTCATATCTGGTGTTGTCTATTCCGACTTTGGCGTTTAGATCTCCCATTAGAATGGTGAGTTCCTTTCTTGGACACCTCTCTATGATTGATCGCAGCCGCTCATAGAATTGATCTTTAATGTCGTCGTTGCTATCACTGGTGAGTGCATAACATTGGATAATATTCATTGTGATCCCCTCCTTCTTTGTTTTGAATGATGCTTTGATGATTGTAGATCCGTGAGATTTCCATCCTACAAGTGCACTTCGTGGTACTTTGAACAACATTAGAGCAAGTCCCTGAGTGTGTGGAGCATTTTGCTGTTGGTGACCGGAGTACAGCAGCATCTCTCCCGTATTTAGGCTTTGTTATCCAGTTTGGTTCCAATAGGTTTCGCTGATTGCCAGTACTGCCAAATTGCATCTCCTCATTTCCGTTGCTATTTGACTGGTCTTCCCGGTTTCCCACATTGTTCGGATGTTCCGTGTACCTACAAAAATTGTTGGTCTGGTTGTTAGAAGTGGCATCGGCCTCGTGGCTTCCGAAGGAACTTGGCTTTCACCATGAAGCGTCATAATTCTTCTACATGAAGACCTTCAAACTCCCAGGGCAGAGTTAAAATGGTTTGAATTATTTTTTCTTGTAAGCGTTTTTTAGCGAGTTAGTTTTCTACGGGATGGAGGCGCTAACCCCATGCCCAACCCTCCTTCTTTACCCGGGCTTGGGACCGGCCGTAACTCTAGAAGAACTACAGGCGAAGTTTTTGTCTCATTAACGAAGATAATAATAATAATAACATCGTGTGAATATGATATGTAATAAGAGAGGCGAGGTAGAAGCAGTTCTGATAACAAATTCGTGTGAATTCGAAATGATGAATGTACAGATTTAAAAAAATGTGGAGCAGATATTAACAAAAAAGTAGTTAGTGGTAAAATGTAAAGAATTGATAATATTCAATTTATGCAAATGGTAATCCAGTCGTGGATCAAGGTAAACACAGAGTCAAAACATACTATAAGTTGGGTTTCTTGGAGTTCATCCAAACGGCTTTAGCTATATGGAGGAGTCGTAATATAACTCCTTTAGGGAGATTATCTGAAACATGATGCAAAATAAAGATAGTTTGATCTATCTAACACGTTCACTATCTACAAAGTGAGAAAAGATGGCACCGCTGATAGATCTCATAACCCCTTTTTTCTATTTTTAGTTGTACAAATCTACTTGGCCTGTCCACCTTTATAAATTTCTAAGATTGATTCTATTTATGCAAGAAAGATGACTTGATACAGAAAAGAAACTTGTGTATGGAAAAAGTAGTTATTATTGAAATATATTCATAGAAAATTTATCAATATGTTAGCTTATTATTACAATAAATTATAATAGAGTGCATTGTGGTTTAGTTGAAAATAACAAAAAAACATTTATTTTAATGTAATTTTTAAATGTTAACTCCCACTGGAGCCCCTCTTGGGCTACTGCCGGTCCCAAGCCCGGATATAGGAGGGGGGTTGAACATGGGGTTAGCGACCCCATCCCGTAGAAAACTAACTCGCTAAAAAACGCTTACAAGAAAAAATAATTCAAACCATTTAAACTCTGCCCTGGGAATTAGGAGGTCTTCATATAGAAAAGTCATGACGTCTAATGATGAGAGCCAAGTTCCTTCGGAAGTCACCAGGTTGATGCTCCTTCTGATAACCAGAGCAACCACTAATTTAGGTACACGGAATGCTCGTACAATGTGGGAGACCGGGAGAGTCTTCCAAATTGCCGCAGAGTTTATAAATACTATAAACGACTAAGAATTTTATCAACAAGGAGCTTCGTTGCTTAAAAAATGGCATGATCTAAAATTAGGATTTATTTAAATATGATAAATTCTGTTACACGTTTAAATAAAACTTGAAGAGCTTATACAATCGACAATTTGAAAATATATTTAGATTTAAAAAGAATGAAGATATTTCAACGAAGAAAAGTTTCTTTTCCATGAACTTTGGATTTATTCAAATATTTTATTCTTTTTTTCCGTTTCTCTTTTTGTAACTGACTTTTACTTTCATACTTTGACAAGTGGTTTATGTCTACACTCACCGAAACTCATAGGTAACTTAAATTCTTTGTTATTGTTTCAGCATGATCTTCAGTCATCTGTACAATATGAGTTATGATGGAAGTATAATAAAGTGTATAATTTATTGTTTTACTTATAAACCATATAAATAATAAGTTGATATTTAGGAGAATTTTTAGTAATAATTATAAACAAAATAGTGTGAAATGTTATGTTATTGTGAAAATTTGTTAAAAATAATTAAACATACATCATTCTCTGATAATTTATCTGTACTATCTTTAGCCGATTGTATAACATCATGATATAATGCAGCCAAGAATTTATGACATGCTGAACGAGTTGGATCCAAAGCATAATGAACAGGAGTTTGAAATTTCTACGAAACAAAGACAAAACAAAATTTCAATGTGAAATTGCAGTATATAAAAAAGTGATTTTATGACTTCTGAAAAAAAATAAATGACGTAATAGATTTATTTTGTCAAAGACTATAGATCATTACAAATGATATCCAAAATCTGTTTAGTTCGTGATTGTTTTTTTTTCATCTCGAACTGACGTCATTGAGTAAACCGGCTGAAAAGTAAAAGATCATCTGGATAGTATTTGAACCTTTTTCAAAAGTACTAAACTTTCTTTGAGCAAGTTTTGCGTGCTCAAAGAAATGCCTGGAAGATGAAATTTTTCTCATAACAAATTGCGTACGTGAAAATGCATATAAGGCGAAGTTCATCCAGAAATATGACAAAACCAACCCTCGGATTATGTACGATAGAGTGGGAAAGAAAACCTGCTTCCTCAAAAGAGATGAAATCACTGGAATGGTTAATCACAAGATAAATTCCGCGTTGAATGTGACCTACCCAACAACGAAACTGACGACGCTATATGAAAAGAACTGCTCAATTGCGATAAAAAAAACTCGAACGTGACCTACGTATTCAAAAAGAGACAGTACCAAACTTATTATTACCCTGGTAATCCAATTTTTGGTCATTAGTTTTATTTTGTTAATGTTTAGTTTGTTATATTTCTCTTCCATTACTGAATTCTTATTTCGTGTACATTTAAATCACCCTTACATTTCCAATCACTTGATTCTTTTAAATTATGTAAACTCTTCAAATTCTATCCAATTAATACATAACCCATCTTATCAGTTTTTAAAGGCATGAATCTTATGTGAACCCTTCATTACCTCTAAAATTATTTGTCTCTGAACTCCACTCAACTATTACATCACTCATCCCTAATGTTTTCTTGTTTCTAACACCAAATAACTTCCGACCTGTTCTTTGCACACACATATTTAGTTATTATAGATAACCTTTGTCATTCCAATTCTTTACATTCACTTATTTCAACTGTTCCAAATTATATTTTATCTCAATGTAAAATTTTAATACATATTTGATTGCAAGTAGCTGATGAGAAACCACGGCATTTAATGAATTCATATTATTCTGCATCCATGTTCGTTGTGCCTTTGACTGATTTCAAACAACTATGAAAGAATATTTCTGAATTATAAATATTTTTTTAAAATAAACTTAGTTATAGTTTGCATCATTCACTCTAGTAGAAACAGTCTTTTATGAATGGAAGTTATTTTATCTCATAGTAGAAATTTTGTAAAATAGTTGCTGTGATATTTAGTCCACTTATATATCTACATTTATTAGAATATTTTAAAAGTAGGACAGTAAGAATCTAAATAGGCAAAAATCTTAGCAAATAGTTAATTCATAGCTTCTGACTAGAAAAAGAAACACTATCGTAGTTAGAACTTGAAGACACTGAAATTTATCCCCAGTAAAATTTAATTTGATGTCATAATAAGAATCATACATTGTCTCAAGAAGCACTAAAGGAATACTGCATGGATATAGAATGCAAAAATTTGGAAAATTAAAACTGCCCTTTTTTAGGAAAAGGATTAGTTTATGTCGTGAAAGAAATGTTCATTTGACTTACAGAATCTGCAACCATGACTAATTTTTTATTAATACAACAAAGAACAACAGCAGTCTCCGGATCACCAACCACACCATGGTGTAATGCATTTCTACCACTCTAAAATAAATAATCAATAAGTGTCCGGTAAGATAGCAATTAGTAAAATTATAAGATAATGTACATTATTTGTCGACCTCTGTTCAGTCATCAGAAGCTTTCTAATTAAACAACAATGTAATTTCATTTATAGTCAAAACATTAAAAACGCTTTACTATTTGTCAATTATAGCTTATTCACTGAAGAAAATGTCTTTGCTGTAAATAAAATATTGATAGTTTCGAGTACATATTTTACATCCAAAAAATATTTTTCAAGCTTATGGCTTTGATCAATTTGGTAATTGGTAGGTTACTGTTTGGCTATAGAAAATAAAAATGATGCAATGAAGATCTAATAAGCGAAAAACTATCATTAGAATTCAGAAATTTTTAGTTAAAAGGTGTATACAGTCACCAACTGGTAAGATTTATTGATTGATAATGAATCGTCAGCTGACAAATCATTATCATCATAGATTACCAACTTATTATTGTGTACAGCTAGTTTTGTAGAAGACTATGAAACATCTTGTTGTGACGATCTTCATAATACTTGAGTCGGTATCAAGTTTACTTATTATTAGATCTACAAAACCATGTAACTAAAAATGGTTAGTTTTCTATTTCATTCATTAATCCACCACAATATGAGGTAGAATAGATTGACTGATCACTGAGAAGCAGTTTTCTGATTAAATATATATTTATACGCAATATTTATCAAGAATACGATACACAGTTTTGCTAAGAGTTTTTCACACGAAATGATAGTTATGGTTGTTTTAATTTTTTCTGATATCGTAAGGACCAATTTCGTTTGTTTTTAACTTCAGATACTAGTAAATATGTTGTTACGACTATTATTCTTTGTCAAAGATGATAGTAATCACTTTTGAGATGAAAAAACTAACGTACTCAGTCAAAATGAGAAATAGTTAAAGATTTTAAAATTGTTATTGTTAGTGGCTGTCATGCTTATTGCATCTATGCACCATATGAGAGACTAATATATATCCGGTAGTTTCTGTCATCTCGAGTCCCACATTTAAAATTACCATGTTATGGAAATCTGAGTCAAACAATCCTAAAAATACCATTGAGTCCCTGATCAATTTAATACAGTATTTACTCGACAGAACAAAGCTTTTTTTAAACTACGGTGTTCAACAAAACACTTCATATAATACAGACAAATCACAGATATATTTGGAGAACACTGTAATAGCCTATATAAATAAGCATCAAAAAGACTTTCATAAGTGCCAGACGTGCGAAAATGTACTCAGTAAGATAATCAAGAATAGATTAACTTAAGTGTATATATTATTATTATACCAGTCATCATTCAGCACATTACTCATTAGAAGTATTTGAACGTTTGATATGGCAAATATCACTCTACAAACAACAACTTTGTTGTACCAGTTAACTCATTAAATATGTACTATAGTTCACTTTTTACATGCACCAAATTAATATAACAGAAATTGCTTTCCAATAAGTTTGTTTCACAACTATCTCGGATCCTTTCTTGTTTATATGATAAGAATTATGTTAAAAAATGTACACTTCACTTCATTAAAGCAATATATTTTCTTCCCAGGTAAACATTTGGTGAATGAATGATATTTTGCATAACTTTTTAAATTTTGAAGGTCATTAAATCATGAAATTATATGCAAAATTACATGGGTGAGACTATAATTTATGGTCGACCTTTGAGCAACGCTGAAGTGACCTTGGGCGTTATTACCTAATAACTAGGACCAAATGAGTGTTATAAACCGGTGTGAGAAATTAGAATTATGAATTACAGTTGATAGTTAGGGTTAGGAAATACATCTAGGGTTTTCATCACGAACTGACATAATCTATAATGCCAAAACTCTATTTAGCCAAATAGATGGATGATTTTCGCGCTAAAATCCGGGACCTGTTATCTTATACCTGATTGGTTCGTCCATAAATTATGGTCTCGCCGATTACATGACCAATAGTTTAGTTTATTTTGACTTAATAAATCACTTACTGTATCTGTGGTTTCAGGATTAGCTCCAGCTTTACATAGTCGTTCGACTGCCACAAAATCACCAACTCCGGCGGAAATATGCAATGGAGTGAAACCTTCCTAGCCACAAAAATCGTATGTATAGTTAATGTAATGTATAACCATTAGAAAATATGTAAAATTGGGCATATAATCATGAAAATAGTCGAAAAATATGTGGCTACTTTCGCACAAACTACTCATCATACATCTCTCTATGTTGACTGAGATGACATTTTTGCTAGACTTTAAAAAAATCTAATGCCATTTGATAATCTGATCACAAATTATATAGTAAGTAGAGCCTTCTTAAGCTTTTCACTGCCAGCCACAGTCCTGCACTACTCATACCGATTACTTGCTCTATGTGAACGCGGACACATTTTTCTAAAGTCTACAAATGTATTATTTTACACATTTAATTACCTATGAATATATTAATATTATTTAATGAATCATACAACAAAAATATACATGGAAAGCTAGACAGAAGTCAATTCTAAAATACTAATTTAAAGTATGCTAAAACAAAATTCATTTCAACCTGTTCCTAATTTTCACTAGAGATGTTGAAAACTTATCATATTGCGTAAAAATCTGGTTATGCTTCATCAGTTGAGTATACAAATTTTCACATGAATGATAATAATTAGACAATGTCAGATTAATAAAAGATGTCTAAGATGAAACACTGAAACAGAAATTCATTAAGATGTAAACATTGTAATTTCATTTAAATTCTCTCTATAACTTGAATACATATTTTAAGTTGACTTTATCTAATACACTAAAGCAGGATAAGTTCATATTACCAAAAGTTTTCTAAAGCTACCAACATTCATAAACTAGGTTATCAGTATCAGTCACATACAAAGTTATTTTGCGTGTGATAAACAAGTGAAGCATTACTAAAGATGATATAAATTATCTTTAGAAGCTTTTGTCTATTGTTTTAAAACTTTTTTTCTGTATTAGTATTATTGTACTTTCACCAAGCATCTAAAAGGTATGAATAATCTATGACTCTATATTCATACCTTTAATATCATATCTGAAAATTTTACATTTTTCAATTCAGCCGTGTGAAGGATATTTCTTCTAATAAATCATCAATGTGTTTTCATGTAACTTTTAGAGTATATTGATATTTTCTTACATTGATTAACAATTCAGTGACTAAATGTTCCAACATATTTACGTAACAATAACTACACCATCAAACTGCACACGTCGTTCTAAAGTAGTCTTCCTTCAAAATAATCTAGACAACCAAAGGAACTGAATCAATGAGGGTTCGAATCAAAAAAGTATGCACTGCTGAGGCGTTAGTGATCCATAACTTCAAATCCGAACTAAGCGTGCAAAAACGATACGTCCAACCTCTCATCTTTCCTTGGCCCTAATTCTTTTCTGTTGTATATTTTGCTCTTGTTTTTTTAAATCATATGGTGACCAAACACTACAATGTTATATCTTCCTCTTTACTTTATCCTGACAAATACGGTACTTTATTTGACAGAGGAAATTTCAAAATCCTGGGTTACCGGAAATTTAGAATTATGAGATAACTTTTGATAGCATAACACGTAGTCAGTATGTTGATTAACGACCTCAACCTAATAACGTGAACAGAAAGCAAATTTTAATGATCTTAACAGACCAGTAATAGGTTTAAATAGTGCATATAACGTCGAATAATAATAACAGTCGTCTTATTCAGTGTAGTATTTTTTTAGTACAATATGAAGCTCTGAGCATAAAGTATTTCTAGATATCCATCTCACTCTTTGTCGATATAGTCGTATATGGATATGTATGCTTATGTAAAAAGAATAAACCAAATAGTATTAATTGAGGTGAAATTTTTGTGAAGAAATAACAGTCTTTTCAACAGTATATAAGCTGAAATCTCACGAATGTAAGTTTTTAGTTAGGTCAGTCCTACCGATCTGTTCTTCGTATAGTGTATATGCTAAATAGAGCACTCTAGGTTATTCGTACTTCTCTTTGCGTGCATGAATTATAACAAAAAAGGGAAAGATGTGAACGAAATGGATGATTTTTATCTAGTAAAATAGTGTAATACAGTGCAAAATAACAGGTTATATATAAGAATTTACAAATTTTAAAACTAATTGCCCTATTTGTGCAGAAAATGTTTCAAATGAAATTCATTATTCCGTCTTCTGTAATTTACAAAACAGAACGTGATTAGTTTCTTACTGAATGCTCTCTTACCGACAACCACTCAAAATCCATTTTGCCCTTAATCATATACATATGAATTACTGCCATTGTTCAAAGTGCAAAATTTAAAGACTTTTTTTGTATAAAAAAGTAACATACTACTGTTTTCTTTTCAATTAGTGACTCTGAATGACCTTTTAAAATATGATCAATTATTCGATGTGCTGAGTACCATGCAGCTACGTGTAGAAATGTTGCCGCCGATAATGTGGTAATTTTAACAGCCCCTGTTTGACGTACTAACTGAAAGAAATCAAATATCAGGAGGAAATATGGTTAGAACTACTGGATACATTAAACTTTAGAAAAAATTGTTATTTACAACAAAATCAATATAAATACCTTTGAAAAAAACTGAAAAGAAAATTGTTTCTACTTTATTCACTTCTGCACAAACTATTTAATCCCACTTAAAAAACCTTTTTAATAATTAACTTACTGGAAGATGAATTTAATTACCCTTGGTAAATAGAATATGGTGACTTTAAATATCACCCATGTAAAGTTTATTGTAGTCGGTAATTTATCTGTGTCATGAACACGGAAACAAGAACTATTGTATTTAGATTACAAGGATTAAATAGTACTTTAATTGTCTGCCTGTATTGGTTAAAAATATCAGACATTTGAAAGGTCAAATAGAAAAAACAGCGACTATCAAAATTAATGATAATCATTTTCAAGCTTTAAAAGTAAATTTCACTGAAGTCACAAACCAATCTAATGTAGACAACTATCGAATACATGAGAGCATTAAACGACTGTTTCGTTTTATTATAGAATTCCTCGTCAGTTTTGCTCCACGACACTGCAGGCGTGAATCGAACCCAAGATCTTCGGTTTCGCATGGGATCACTTAACCTGGACTTTTGATTGCAGGGTCAATGAAATTCTAAAATCTACACAACCTCATACAAGAGTAAAAGTTAAATAAATACCAAATGCACAGTTTGCATTGCTCAAACCTTCTTAGTGAAGAACTCAAACACGCCGATATATTGTTAAGAAATTAAATTCAAAAAGTTTGTTTCATAAAACGTCAAGTTGTAACTATACGTTATATGACCCCAATTGTCACTGTGTGGGACATTTTACCTGCTTAATGAGAAGGATACTTTCTAGCTTAAAAAATGGTTGAAAGTGTATTACCAATTGTAGAAGTAGTTACATTCAAATCTATGAATATTATTATTCATAAATAACTAAACGTTAGGATATCAGAAAATTCAGATTAGAATGTAATTTTACCAAACCAGTCAACAAATCTTCCATGGATAAAATGGTTGAATTTCAAAAGTCATTACTATTGTTTTGAGCTTCTATGAGGTATTATTCTTCACTAATATGGTTCATTTGAAAAGGATTCATATATGACGATTATGTAAAATTGCAGTATTAAACAAAATGTCAGTTTAACAAATGTGTCATAATATTTATACAAACATCTATTCAATTCATGAAGATATTTCTGCGTAGAAGTGATCGTTCTCAATGTATCTGTATACCAATATGATCCAGGATTGTGAAAACTGTCATGTTTTACAGAAATTAGTTTTCTTAATGAAGCAGGGAGTACAGACTAAATAATATATATCAGCCAAAAAATATTGAAATCATATCTACCTATTTCAAATAAACATTTAATCGGAACAAATGGATGTTAAGAAGTAGAATAATTCGAATTAGTTCTAAATGATTTTTTATTCAAAATGTTTTAATATACTTTTCATTTAAAAACGTGTATAAGGAAGTATAAAGAGGTTTATTTAATTCAAAGTAAGATGACTACTTGAAATTTCAGATTATCTAATTTACCATCATTCTACATTTTAAACTATTTAAAGATTTTTCTATGTTGTCAAAAGAATAAAATCTTATCGAGGAACATTTCTCTCAAGATTTGAGTTGATAACTCTTGAAAGTTCAAGCATCGGATCGCTAGCCTATTATATTGATATAACCACAAATAGATTCTTGATATCTATTAAATGTTTGTGAAATTTCATTTTCATTTGTAGAACATAGACATTTAGAAACTCCTGAGTATACTTCCTGACAAACTCCTCTTACACATCAGTCTTTTCCTTAATGTTCGGCATACAATAAATAGTCTCACGGTAATTTGACACTTCCAGAGCTGTTTGTCTAAAGACATCTTAAGTAATTTGGAACAACAACGACAAATATGAATTACTTTGAATAATGGGCACAACACTTGTAACATCTGTTTTGAGAAGTTCTCTAACTTTCAGCATTTCAATTAAGTACTTTAAGCATACCTACTTCTATCATCAAAGATTTTAACAGGAACAGTCATCAGTTGTAGTTGTTTACAAAACCTGTAAAGTTAAAATATCATTTTAATCTGCTTAGTTTAAAAATCAAGTTGACATTGCTCTTTTTTTGAAAACCATATTTAGAAGCAGTGATTTTATAATAGTAATTACTTTTTTAACGAATGCTGTGCATTAAGGATGAGTTATGCCCAAATAAACACCATAAGTTACTGCCATTATTTGGTGGAAAACAAATATTTTTGGGCTTTACATTGTAGTAGATCGTTATTCTGTAATTTGTCATTACAAGGAACTATAAATCTCAAAATACACTAGTTTTTACATTCAAGCTGATATATTATCTTCAACTACGAAGAATTCATTGTGTAACATTAGATACTTCACTGAAGTACTTATATAAATTAACTGGCAGATAATAATTAGTTATCAGTCTTCAGACACTATTATCTATAATAAAATTATCGATCTAACAAAATGGAGTCGACATTTCAGTTCTAATGTCCCCGTAATTAGTTTAAAGAATTTATTTATTTGGAAACGACCCAAAATGGTATGGCAAATTGAGGTAGCCCACTATTCATGACGTTCAACAATAATTCCGTTAGATCCCTCACCATTTGTATTTAAGAGACATAGAATCATAAGTTTAAACTAAATATCTTAATTGTATTGTGTTCATTTCGAGATCTGAATCTTTTTAGTTTAATCACCTGTTGGAAAATGGTCGTCTAACTAATGAGAAGTAACTAGGTGATCTTCATTGATCTTCAAAGGTCTTATTATTGATATCAATTAATAGTGAAAAGTATTTTTGGTTGAAACAAATTTTCACAAACTAAAAACAGTATAGTATATGTTGTCATTAAGAAGACATTTACGATATCGTTATACTGATTAGATAGCAATATATTAGTTAACATCAGTGTTGTTTTGTGTCAATTTGAGTTCTAATCTAAATTGTTGATAAGAAATGAAAACATCATCACAAATTATGTGAACAGTAAGAATTTGGATGAAAACAAATGCAACCATGTCATGAACATACCCGGTACAACGTGATTTTCAAATTAAATCGATTAAGTCCATTAAATGTAAAATTAAATTGTTATAATATGTCAAACATTTTAGAATCATGATGTTCCTAATACGAACAGATAATACTTTGTATTTTCAAAAAGTAAAATTGTGTCAGTTTACTTTCTTTGTCAAATAAAAAAATGCATTATGTTGACAACACTCTCTAAAAGTTTTAAAATAGTACTAATATGTTGTTTCCATTATTGATATTCAGTGTAATATCACAAAACAGCTTTGAACACGGTTTCTTTAAAATTCATTAGTTATAATGGACAGTTACAACAACTTTTATGCTTGAATCTTCAGACTAAAACAATATACAGTAGGAGGGGCTGTTATTGATCAATCAAAACTGAGTTGATCTTTTTTCTCTTCAAACATTAAGTTATATCTCCTGCCATGAAGCATGAATTGAAACTAACCTATAAAAATTATTAGATAGAAAACCATTCTTAAAACGATAACAAACTTCCTTTGTAAAACAGAGTTTATTTACAATGAATTTTTTTTGAAAACCTTTGAGATATGTACAATTTGAAAATAGAGTTTACCATCGAATGACATCATCTAGAAAGCTACCAAAAATTAGGAAAGACTAGTCAGTATTTTGTCCCAGTTTTAAGAGATTTTAGCAGTGCTCATATTCTGTTTCACATGACATCTAACTTTGAATCTTCAAATTTTGTTAAGAATACACTAACTATAGACCAGTGTGTTTGTAAACAGATGGTCTCAGTTTAGGTTAATTCTTAGTATATAGCAACTAGTGACACTGACCCCTGTTTGTCGAAAGTTACCGAATCGTATTATTTCTCAAAAGCTTTGTTCGTATAAAATGTAAAATGACTTCTGAAACTTATAATATAGAAGCAGTGAGTACTATAGAATAAAATAAATAAACGGAATAGTTCAGTCCAATCATAAAATAGTGAGATTATTCATTGTAAAAAAAGATTAGAAATACATGTAGAGATCACAGCGAAAGTATTTAAAATAATGTTAGAAGTAACAGGACAACTGCCATTATGGTGAAAGCTGAATCACAAGTAAACTAAATAGTTGATGTGTTAATACAACTAAGTTTCACAATTTGAAATAAATAAATGTAACCGTATTGGTTCCTTGTATTCGCTGACTTAATAGATTGTCTTACTTTTTCAGTTCATTTCGTAATAATAACCTCATGAATATACAGTCTTTGTATCTAAAATTATCGTTGAACTGGAATATTCATCTCAAAAAATCCAAACTCATGATACTTCATTTATTTGTGAAAGTAAACGTTTATACAACATTTAAATAACATATTTAATGAAATGAATTCACTGAATTTCATGATGTCGATCGCTTTTACCATACAAAGGTGACGATTATTTCGATAAATAAATCCCGATTGAGGAGTACCTTTGGACTAAGTGGTCTCCACTGACCACATTTAGTGTATATTTACGGTCGATTTTATTTGTGCGCAATAATAAGCTACAACTATTTAATACAGATTACTGGATTGAGCAACGAGAAAATCCTGGCTGAATTAGCTTCGCTTTCCAACTAAACAAACCCATATAAATTGAGTATTTTAGAATTCCATCTCTAGTGAAACCATCAAAACTACTCATTATCTGATTCGGCTGCTAACAAGATATGTTATAAGCAGAGACTGATGATGGCTAGAAATAGAATCCAGGACGCGCGTTTCGTCCTATTTGAGACTCGTCAGCTGGATGTGCCTACACCCCATAGTTGTGTCTACTCCTGGACTAGAACTGAGTACCGTTCGCGTTAAACGTCCCCACGTTATGCATTTATCTATTGAACCACAGACAGTCACTGGTTTGATTTGATCAGTCTTCCTTTGGCATAAGTGTA